TTTCATAAATCTTGTTAATATTTTATAAATATTATTTTTCATAATTATTTAAAACGAGTTAAAAAAAAAAAAACAAAACATAATTAAATTTAAAATTTAATAAACTTTAAACATATATTTTGGTGTACAATGTCAAAAATCGAATAAATTCCCCTTTTTTGACCTCTTTAATGTGGAGATTAAAAAAATAATATAATTTTATTATATTATTAAAATATTATAAATATTTTGTGACTTTTACACAAAATTTCAAACGATAATCTGTATCCGTGTCTGTGTTGTCCATACTTATAGATCTGTATGATGATGGCAATTTTTTTTTTAACGATATCGGAATATTTACTTTATTACTCACATTTTATAAAAGTTTGCCGCAATATAGCGGTACTGAGTGTCAAATTCAACTGGAAAACTGTAATATTTTTAAGAGTGTAAAAATTTTATTTTAGCTCGTAGATTAAAAATAAAGTTAGACAAATATCTTTATGGTGTGCTAAGATAAAATTTGACACAAGGCGATCGTAGGTCTAAAGTCGGCGCTCTACGCCCGGAAGCTAATATTTTTCTGTTTATTCTGATATATTAGTTATAACAAAAACATTTTTTAAATATATGTTTATATATTGTATAAAACTAACACTTATTTTATATGTTGAGGATTATAATTTCAAATATTTTTGTTAACCTTAATTTTTATTGTTCTCTAAATACTATTAAAATTCAAAAATCGTTATTTATTTCGGAGGAGGTGTTGTAAATAAGATAACTTTTACAACCTCTTCGAAAATCGAAATATTCAAAAACTCTCTTGATTATTATATAAAATATTTATTGAGTAATAAGATGATTCATAGAAACTTGTAATATTTAATTTTGTGACAATTAAAAATAATATAGTAGTTTGTCAACTTTAATAGCAATTAATACATTACCAATTATACTGAATAGGATTTTATTTTGTAATACATATTATAAATCATATAATAATTATTATTATATGAGTTAGTATCAACTTAAATGATTCAATTTAAAGACTTGTAGTTTTTTTATAGAAATATATATCTATAAAATGTAAAATTTATTATTTCTGCTTAAGATCTATATAGAATACCATATATATATCGCTAGTTGTTAATAGAGTAGGAATATCCATTTTATATTTGAAATTTATTTATTTATTGTCAATTTTTGCAACAGTTTTATTCTGTAGTTTGTTTTTAAATTATTAACAAAAAAAGTATTTCATATCACAAATGTAGTGAAATACTGTAAAACTGAAAGAAAATAGCAAACTGGTTTAAACAATTTTATTAACTACTGATTGGCATCCACTCATTATATTCATTAGATTATTTTTAATATGTGAGCTGTTTTTTTTTTGCGTTAGAACAATTTTTTAGCTTCGATGCGTTTTTTATTTTTTTACATAGAATAATAAACAATTTTGAAGAGAAAAAATTATGCTTTATGTATTGAATAATCGTATAAATGACAACACAACAGGGCACAAAAAGTATAAATACAAACATTTTTTAGATTTTTGTATTTATAGCCTAATGAGTTGAGAATATTTTTTGTAATATATAAAATATTTTGGAATGTAATTAAGTATAGAGGGACGGTGTGGACGAGTCGGTAACGCGGTAGTTCCTGATGCCTACTGTCATGGGTTCGAGACTCGGTCACAAGCGACTCTAATGGCGAAATTAAAAAGGTCATTAAATATTTAGTATTGGCTCTTCTTGTCTGTTAACTTGTTATAGTAGTCATTAAAAAAGGTCCTAGGGAAATTTTCTTGTTTTTTTTTTCAGAGTTATTTTATCGTTTAAAATGTATAACTCTAATTAATAATTTCGAATTATAAGGAACAGGACTAACTTAAGACATAAGTAACAACTTTATTTTTTTTTATTTACAATTTGAAATACACAATCTGTACAACATAGCACAATAATTAGATATGATATTATAATAGTATCATGAATATTTTGAATTAAGAAATCACCCATTGGTGACACTTGGCTGGGAAACAACTATATAAAACTTTATTAATTTTTTACATTTTTTAATTTTTCAGCTTGATTAAAAATGATTGATGAAAAAGTTGATGTAAGTTATGAGTCATTTAAAGCAAAAGTTATAGCATCTTCAGCTCATAAACAAAATCAAAACCTTTCATCCGTGAAGAAGACTTCGGTAAAACATATAAATGTTGAACCGGTGATTTTTTTTTATATAATTGCTTGTGGTTTAGCAAGTTTGACTAATCAAAACTTAAATATTCAAAAAGCATGTAGAGTCAACCTAAGATTCAATAAAAGTGTATGTAATGAACTTGACCTTAAGAACTTTGATTTCGCTTATTTCACTGGCGAAGAAATCAGAGTACAAAAATTAGTAGCCGACATGCTTGTTTGGCAGACAATACTACAAAACAGTATACCTACTATTTTTGTAATATTTTTGGGTTCGTGGAGTGACCGAAATCGTCGACGGAGACCATGCATGTTATTACCTATTTTTGGAGAGATTATTAAAAATCTTGGCCTCATGGTTTGTGTATATTTTTTTGACCAACTTCCAATGGAAATTTCTGGTTTGTGGCAATCGTTACCCATCGCCCTGACTGGACATTGGGTGGTTTTATTCATGTCTGTTTATTCCTACGTTGGTGATATTAGTACTGTAAGTATAATTTGGTATTAATAGATAAAAAGTATAAAGTTTTCTAATCAAAAAAATATCTTAAATTAATTTTGAAAACTTTTATCACTTAATTGTTTGATTTTTAGCATGTTACGAAGCTGAGAAATTATTAGTTTTAACATAATGTGTATATTTTTTATTTTTTTTGTGTTGGTCAATATTTTTTCTCAAGTCTTACTTGACAGATTTTTTTAAACGATACGTCAAAAAATCACAAATGTATCTATTTAAAGACGTTATTCTAAAAAAATTTGAATAATTTACCTTGTTCCATATAAATGGGAGAAATCTCAAAACATATTGTAATTTTTTCAATCTATAAATTTATATTTTTTAATCTTTTTTTACTTAAAACTGTTATCATTTTTTTTTAATGGATGAATCGAAACAAATTCCTTTTTATAAATACCTAAGGTACCTTTTCATGTGGTTAATTTTTTTTTAAATCTGAATTTTGATTATATTGATGTTCTGATCTATTTCTCGAATGAGCGATAAAAAAGGACGAATATAAACGCAATTTGAATGAAATATGTTGTAGATTTAACTTAATTTCTCCCCTTCTAATGTCATTTTCATCAAATTTTTTGGATGGGAGTTGCCATAAATTTAGGAGGACTAAGCTCCCCTATAAAGACGATGCAATATCGGTATTATGGTACAACATACAATTTTCATTTTACAACGGTTGTCAAAACGCTTGAACGTCACTCCCAATTTTAATAGATTGGTGATAAGCAACTAGTTTGAAAGAAGATTGCAGCAAAAATGATGTTTATCCTGAGTTAGGAAGACTGGTATCCGCACCGGGCAGCCCGTTATTTATTATTAATTAATCGATTTGGTGTGTTCTAAATTATAAGTTTTTATTTATTTATTGTTTGTTAAGAAAAATAAATAGTGTGCATTTTTCATTATTTTACATATTATGACAAACATCAGCTGAAAAATAATTAACCTACTCTACAACACTGACATCCGAAGTGGTGGATTTCCCATGTCACTAAAAAAAAATACAAAACTTATAATTCTTGCTATCAAATCTTTTTAATTTGAATTAAAATTTTTGTCAATTATAAAATAGATTCTGCATCATCTGTTACTAACAGAGTACTAAAAAGCGTTCATTGGAGAGGATGATCTACTTTGTACGGTCCGTAGATAAGATTATCCACGAACTGTACTAAGACAAATAGTGTAATCTGTTTATTTCTAGTCTTATTCTAAAGAGTAGTAATATAGTAAGCATTTAAATAAAATATTGTTTAGGGTTGAACAATTTTTTTAAATTTATAATAGAATTTTTTGTTATGACCCTTTTGTTTTAATGAGAGCTGACAAAAATTGGTTTTATCACAATGTGCATTTTTTAATGTTTTTCCATGAAAATTTTTAATTCTCACTGAATGATGTTGTTGATTTATGTGTCAAAAGAAACCGATTTTAATATAGTTGAACCTATTAACGTCAAAAATTAAAAAAAAAACATTTTATTTTAAAAATTTTAAATTTACTAAATTCCTGCTAAAATAATAATAATTTTTAGAATTTTTTCTTTTGGCTTTGTTTAATATTATTTATTTATCGATTTATAAGTCTAATGTTTTTAAGTCCATTCTTTATTCCGTATAAGAATAACAACTTAATTGTTTTAAATGGGATTAAACATATTTTAACTAGTTTATATAACAAAAAATAATNTAAACATATTTTAACTAGTTTATATAACAAAAAATAATCCAACTAAGAAAATGACTGGTTGATAATAACATTTGAATCAGTAGTTCAGAAGTTATGAATATTTTTAGACTTGAGTGAGAGGAGCAGCGTCCAGAGAAATCCATAATGATAAAAATAACATGACCTGTACCACTTCTCCAGTCAACATTTAAAATTGTTTATAAAAATTGATTATTTTTACATTCTTATATTTCCCCGAACTTAACATGCTATAAAGAGTGGTAACTCTCTTTTACACGTTAGGAAATCAATGTTAGCTAGGTCAATTGTTAAAATTGTTGATAATTATCGAAATACTGGTTCAAATGTTATCGACCAGACATTATGTTAGTTGAATAATTTTCTAACATTTGATCTAGTAAACATACATGTTTACCATTTAAGAAAATAAAGTTAATACACTTTTAAGGGTAATGGGATGGACATATAAAACATTGAACCACTTATAAATTAAGAAATAAATAATATTAATTAACGTCAAATAATAATAAGTTAATCATTCTGTATATTAGAAAAATAAGATAATTTTTCTTTTATACTATACAAGAAAATTAAAATTATTTAATTTCATTAATTTTTTAGGTAAAAGAAAAAACATTGAAAATTGGTATGGTAAACTTAACGGTTGCATTTTGTCTTCCGATAGGCTCTGCTCTATCTGGGATATTATACAGAAAGTTTGGATACTATGGAATATATGGAACATCATCAATACTGTGCATTATCAGTATATTATTGGCTTTTATTTTAGTTCAGGATAAAAATTTAGCAGTAGTTACTGATTCTAGTAATTCATTTTGGTCTCATATCAAGACATTCTTTAATTTGAAACACGTAATCAAAGCATTCCGTGTAAGTTTCAAAAAATCAAAAAATCATAGAAGATTGAAAGTTATTGCTTTAATTATACTCATCACCACAATCATGGGTCCTCAACAAGGTCACAATACTATTCACTTTATACTGTAAAATAATTTTTTATTTCAATAACTGCAAAAAATAAATTTTAAATATAATCGATAGAGCTATCATCAGTATGTTTACTGGTAGTAATAATGCTTATGATTCATTTAGTTATTTAAAAAAAAATCTATAATTATTATGAATTATAATTTTAATATTATGTTAAATAATTTTTTTGTTATTCAACAAAGAATTCGATTTCTAATAATTATTTTGGTACATAGAAAAAAAACTTCTAATTATATTCATTGCATTCTTGATTTAATTTTTATCATATATAAATATATTTTATTTTACGTATAATATAGGTGAGAAAGGTGTCTTATATTTGTTTACTCGTGTTAAATTCAATTGGAATGAAATGCAGTTCAGCATTTTCTCGACATTTTCTGTGGTTATTAATCTTATTGGTAATTAATATAAATAATGATTTTCTTTTTTAATATGATAATAACAATGAAGAATTTATATTTCAGGAACCTGCTTGGTATTGGGGGTGTTGATAAAAAAGTATGATGTTAGCGATGCACTAGTTGGTTTAATTGCTTGCCTAGGGAAAATTATTTCTCAAGTATTATTTGCTTATGCAAGTTCTGAGGAAGTTTTTTACCTAGGTGTGTTAGTAAATAACAGATTTACTTTTTAAATTTAACTCGATAACACATTTTATAATCAAAACTAGTACCTTTCAAGTTACTAAATTTTAATTACAAATATAATTTTTAAAAAAAAAATAAAAGTATTTATTTATTTTTATTTTTTTAATTGTGAACTTGATTGTAGGAGCTATTTTAAATTTTCTACAAGGACCTGCTATTATCTCTCAAAAGTCTATTATCAACAAAATCATTCCAGCAGATGAACTAGGTTTGTGGAAGTATTCACTGTATTGTTAATAATTAAATAATTTATATTAGTATTAATATCATTAGGTCAAGTAACTGCAGTTAGCAGTATTGGAGAGAACATCATACCTATTTTCTGTGGTCCACTTTACAGTGCTATTTATGAAATAACTGTTGGAAATTTTGCTGGTGCTTTTTTCCTGCTTACAGCTACTATTACAGTGTTTTCTACACTTATTTATATGTAAGTAAAATACTTCAACTAAGTTTATATATCTTTTAAATTATCTAAACCCCCCCAAAAAAACACTTTATAAAAGTGAAAAAAAATCGCCAAGCTTAAAATGGAAAATAAAATATTATTAATTTTATGTTAAAGTATACACGAGAACGGTCCTAAAAGGTCTTACTTCTTAAACTTATGAAATGAAAATATCTTGTATATTCACTAACTAATCAAAACTACAAAATTCAAAATTATCTTAAATTTCATGAAATAATTATAGTTGTAAATTTTATGTTATAAGCTATAACGTTATTTATGTTATATCAACTCTTTACTTGCTCACGATGGGATTCAAAATAGCAAATTTTCTACAAAATTTTCAAAATACAAAACTTTTTCAATTTAAATTTTTAAAATGTTTGGGAAATACTGTGTCCTTTAAACATAAATTAAAGCTTATGTTACATACTATAAATTAAAAAACAAAAAATTTATCACAACGACTTTACCTTGTAAAATATAAAAATAAAATGTACAAATAGCTTCCGTAGTTAAAACATGCCATTTTAATAAATAATACTTTCAAATGTGTATGTGCATACCTATAATATATACACACATTATTATTATTTTTTATTGAAAACATTTTACTGGGGGTGGCGATTGTCTCTATCACCAAGTTGTAAGTTATGTACAGAGCCACATTTAAGGGGCATTGGCTGCTACTAAAGGTACAGGAGAAAATATTTACATATAAAAGTTAAAACATGTGAATTTTTATGTATTGAAGACCTAATTTATTTTTTGATCATTACTACAAAAAATTGAGAGCAAAAGAAAAATGATTGTTATTCTATAGGGCAACATTATATGATACCTTATGTGACATAATTTTTAAATGCGACCTTGATTATGTAGTTTATTGTATGATATAAATTAAAATTGTCTGCTAACATTAATATTTTTTAAATTTTAGAATATTATATGTCCTACAAAGGTTAGAATTTAAAATGAATAAAAAATGTGTCAAATCAGAAGGGATTGGAAAAATACCAAATAAATTATTCAAAAACAGTTATGGCTCTATTACAACATCTGCTGAATTACCAAAAATTTGAGGTGTTTAATACTTAATTTATTATTAATTATTTACGGGTTGCATTTGCTTAACATGCATTATATATTAACAAAACTGTTACTTTTTTTTAAAATGAATAACTTTTATTATCATCTACTAATTTTAAATCATTAACTAATATTGGAAATAAAAGTTATATTGTAGAGAGATACTTGTTGATCGTAAAATAATAATAGCAATATATATATATATATATTGTGTTGCTCATATACATTATAGTAAATTATTAATTATTCATTTAAAATTAACTCGAATGCAAAGCACGGCATTCTTCAAATTGTGGATTAAAAAAAAAAAAATTATTCCTTTATTCTTTTTAATTAATTATTTTTATATAATGTAGTATAAAACATTTTTATATTGTTGTATAGATTTATATTATTACCTTCTGGATTTTATTTTCAGTAGTTGTATTTTATTGTCTTTGTTTTAAAATTGAGTATAGTGTGACAGTGTTCCACACTCCTAATGCATCCAGTGCAGCAGACACATTATTTACTGATATGTTCTAAAGTTAAGTGACGTCTGCTACTATAAGCTCTCAAATGGGTCACCATACCATACGAGAGCTTTTACAGCAGTGTCACTGGTGCAGGAGACAACAGGAAACCTTCACTGCACTTGACTTTCTCCTTGGTACACAACAGTTCAATTGTAGTTGACTGGTGTCAAACCAATCTTCGAGTTGAGAGTTAACATATTTTTTTTTTAAATTGTTATTTTCTTTTACTTACTTATAAATAAGTAAATGAGTGTTAGGATTTTTAAAAGACAATTAAAAAAAAAAATATAATTTTATTGAATAACTGCTAACAATATACTATATCTCAATTATATAGTTAAACTTTTAACAAAATCCAAAATCACAATTAAAATTGATTAAAAAAATGCAAAAACTGATTGATAAATAGATTTTAACATTTTTACCACAATTAAAATATTTATAAATTTAAACTAAGTATTAATATAAGCTAATTTAAATGATTTCTTTTACAGATATTAAAGTAAAAACATACACATATCAAAAAAAAAATAAAACTAAAATTGTTTTTCCTAAATAGCTTTTTGAAATTGAAATACCAAAACCAGACAATTATAAATTATATTAACAAAAAATCAAAATAAACTTATACATTTACACTAATATATTTTATTTGTAATTATTCATTTTAAGTATATTGTAAATAAAAAAATTATTTCAGAGAAAATTATGATTTGTTTTTTTTCTTGTAAAAATAGCTGTATGATTACAATATAAATAAATTAAAATAAATTAAGTTTTAATAGAATAAATCACAATAAAGGCTATTATATATAGTTATTTAGTTTGAAAACTAAAATAAAAATATAGGACATATATTTTATTTCTAAAAGTAGGTTGGTAATTTTGATTTAAGGTAATATTTGTATACATATTGATGTTTTAAAATTTTATAAAATATATATAAGTCTATAAAATTGATCAGTATCAATTTAGTCTCAATAAAAATACTAAAATTGAAAGTGCCATTACAAAGACTGATGATTGAGCAATGAAACTTCCATTAGAACTAAATTGCTTACATGGGGTTTCTCGACGGATAAAATCAAACAAAGCTCCTATTAAATTAGCTGATGTAGGCTCTTTACATTTTTCTAACTCAATAACAACACAATTTTGAAGTTCGGTTAAACTCCTAAAAATAGTTGTACAACAAAATTTAAAATAAAATAATTTATTATTTAAAAAAATAAAAAAAACTACTTTTTTAGTTGTTTTTAAGTGTTCTAAACTTGATTAAAACACTTTTCAAATAATTAAAAATTAAGTTTTATTTTACATTTATCACCAATCGTTCAAAAAAACATGTTAATCGTATTAGGTTATACATAGATTTATATTAATTATAAAGCTATCAGTGAAGGCGCAAACTTTTGTAGGGCCCTTGAAAACTGCCCCTACTGCTCAACTTATACCATCATTGAGAGCTATAAAAATGATAAGATTGCAAAAAAATAGAAATTATAATAATAAATTATACGGTTTTTTACATAGATACTATAAATAATTTATTAAAATATTTTTCTCTTGAGCCTATCACAGAAACTATCAAATCTATTCAATGATAAACAAGATGATTCTTTTAATGCTAGCTACTTGTGAGCATTAAAAGAATCACCCTATATATGGTAGTTGCATTTTTCATATTGTACTATATTTAAATATAAAAATGTATCAAACAAAAATGATTTCCTTAAGATTATTCAAATTATTAGTGTTACTCAATTTCAATATACTTTTTAAATTTTTTATAGTCATATTAAAAATTAATTAAATTTATATATTATTTTCATTATTTGAACTTAATTTTTTTGAATTATAAATTTTAAAATGTATAAAGTTTGACTTGTTTTTTAAATGCGTTTTAAAAAATAAATATCTTATAAGTCAAAAGTAGTTAAACAAACAAGCATCTTATTTTCACATAATTTTCATTAATAATTTAAATAAAATATAGATTATGGATTATAGATTAGAACTTACTTGCATTGACTTTCTTCAAAACTAAATGATGGTAAATCAGACAGATTACCAACACCATTTGGTGTATATCTACTGAATGATGTATTTAAACAATGTTGAATGGCTTCTTGTTTATCATTTAAACATTCTGGGCCTTTTTCTGAGTAAAATACTAAAAACATGGCATTCACATAAATTAAATATTTTTAAATTACAATGCAGATAATGTTGCCATTATTTTTACTAATACCATGTTATTTTGATTACTCTAAATATAATTTTTATTAAACATAAAATATACTTATTAAAAAATCTTTAAAATAGATTCTCACCATTTTAATATATATATGTAGAAAAATTGATTGATCATTGACTAATAGTTTTTTTTCTAAAATAAGAATTATTTAGAAATATTTTTTTAGTTTATTAAGTAGTATTTAAGCTTTAAGCTTAAATAGTATTTATTTCTTGATTATTGAGTTATTAGATATATTTTGAAGGGACGGGAAAAAAAACATTTAACTACAATTTTTTGTAGTTTGTTAAACCTGATATTTTTTTCTTGACATCCAAGATTTGGATGTCATATAAAAATTCAAAATTGATTTGGTATTTTATACCAGTGATAATGAAACCAGTATTATTGCTGCCATTGTGATGGCAATATGTTATGATAGTCTATAAATGAATTATTATGGTAGTTATAATGAAAAATTTTCCATGACGGTTTTTGTCTATGTATTATTTAAACTCATTTATGTAACTGCAAAGAAAAATAATGACTTCTGCATTCAAAACAGTAAAATAACAATAGAAATTTGGATTAAAATCACTGAACTTTAATAAGCTGTAACAGAAGAACATTTGATTGGAAAAAAATTATATGAATATAAGGGTTTGAAGTTTTTCCTCAAGTTATAAGTAGGAGTTCTCATTTAATAAAATTATAAATAAGGATCATTATTTTTGAAGGGACAAGAAAAAAAATTATTAAACTATATATATTTGTAGAATTTTTTGAACCTCATATGTTTTTTCTTTACAAAAATTTTAAATTCTTAATAGTTCGAGAAAATGAGTGTCATACCATATTTCCATCACTCTGTAAATAGTTTTAATTCTATCTATTATTATAACTATTTTCATTTATTAAGTTGAAAAAAATAATCCTTCAAAATTCATTACTATAACTGTTCTTACAGCTTCTGATTTCTCTCTCCTCGTAATATGACCAAACCATTTAAGTTTATTCTTTCTCATCTTATCTATGATTGACACTACACTTATACTCCTTAATGTTCATTCCTTATTCTATTTTCTCTATTAACTACGCTCATTCATCTAAGCATTCTCATTACTACAACACACATTCTCTGCTCTATTTTCTTATCAATCACCCAACACTCTGAACTATACATCATATCTGGTCTCACTACAGTCTTATAGAAATTACCTTTCAGCCTCATTAGAATTCTCTTATCACATAACACACCAGACGGTTTCTCCACTTCAACCATCCTCACTTAATCCTGTGTCTTACATCCTTGTCAATATCATTGCTCTTTAATACAACTCATCTTAAATACTTAAAACTCTCCACCTCTCCAATCACATCATCACCTATTGTTACTAACCTCCTCATTTCACCGACCTCGTGTTCTTCTCTGTCAAACTCGTACTATATGTATTTTGTCTTGCTTCTACTTATTCTTAAACCCTTTTCTTCAAGAGCTGATCTCCATACCTCTAGCCTTTGATTAATTTTCTTCATATTTTCTTCTATTAACACTATATCGTCAGGAAAATGCACCACATTACTTCTCCTTGTATTTCTCTAGTAATTTCAACCATCATTAGAGAAAATAAGTAAGGGATTAAAACAGAGCCTTAGTGCACTCCTACTCTTACTCTAAAATATTCTATTACTTTTTACTCTGGTAATAGTGTCATCATACATATCTTCTATTATAAATATACCTTTTTGGGATTCTATTTCTCATTTTAAAACCTTTATCATTCACTTTCTCCAAATCTATAAATACCATACAAAGCTTTTTCTTTTCCCTATAGTTTTCTATTAGCTGTCACAAAATAAATGTCTCCATAGTTGACTTTCCAGACAAAAAACTAAACTGTTTGTTTGTTACTGATGTTTGCCCTCTTATGCTTTTGTCTATTACCTTTTTCCAAATCTTCATACTATGACTCATAAACTTTATGCCTCTATAATTTCTATACTCATGTACTCAACAATTTTTATTGTTAATAAAAAATTTAGATTGACATTTTTAATCACTTTTTAAGAAATATGATTTTGTACATACAAGCTATTCTGTCTCCATCATCATGGCAAATAAATTCCATCAAAGCTTCAGTAACATTTTGGAGGATTTTTTTAGTAGCACGTTCACCTTCATCCCAACAAGCATCTAATGTTGAAGTAAAATTTAATATACAATTTTGAAAATCCTTTTTTTTTCTGAAAAAATTTAAGTTGTTATTTTTAATTGAAACAAAAAAAAACATAAAATTAATATTTTAATAATTTTGCTTTAAAAAGAAGGTAATTTTAAACTTTCAAATTTGAAGAAAATTGTAAATATTATTTATAATTCATTATTATGTTATGACATTTAAAAATTTATTATTTAACAAATTGAAAACTTACTAATTCATATAAATAATTTTTTCTAAAATTAATTCAAAGAGTTTTTTTTATATAACATAAGTGGTGTAATTGAAACCCCATTGTTCCATTAATTAGTAAATCAGTAAAAGTTACTTCAATAAATTAACTTATTTTCTTAAAATTTGGTGATTAAAAAAAAATTTTAATGAAAGATCTAAAAAAATAAAATGGTAGCATGTTACAGAAATTCCCAGAAAAGCTGATAATTTTATTTATTATAAATGACTGGGAAACAACTAAATAAATTTAGCATAGCAAGATAATTTAACAGATTAAATATAACGAGTTTAAATCAGTTAAATACGATTTAAAGCCATTATAAAGATTGTTTTATAGATCATAATAATTTTTGATCTTCTTAAAATTTTGAGAGCAGCAACCTACTACATCTTAAGATACAATGTTTAATACTTACGAACAGTATTTTTTGAACACTTCATCTAATTTACCAGTCGGTCTTTGGGTTTCTATTTCTTTCTGTAATTCTTTAACATTTACCAATGATTTCATGCATAACTTAAACTCTCCTTCAGCTTCCTGAAATATAAAAAAATAACTTTAAAAATTTCTAGTTTTTAATATTCTTAGATAGTAAAGATTTATTTCAATTTTCAAATAATGAACATATGTAAATATTATAACCGTCAGCATATATATTATAATTGAAGTGAATGTTGATGATGTTTTAATCACCATAAATCGGATATTTTTTTTTACGAGTATGACTTATTATAGAGATACTGGAAAAAAAATCAGCACAGTGGGATTGCACCATAGTTTGGGTGAGTATAGATCATATATGGTAGTAATTCACATCACAATCATAAAAAACAAAACGCTTAAAAGTGAATCTGTTAAATTTAACAATAATTTGTATATTTGTAATTTTACAATTGTTGTTATTAAAATATTACTTAAAATATTAAATTATTAAATTATTTGTTTTATTAGACAATATACAGTAATAGCTTTAATAAACATTCCAGAGCATTAAAAAAAAGGGAAATGAAAAAAAAATAATTTATATGTGTAGGTGGTCTGTTTTAGCCCTTCCTGTACTTAAGTTTCTCATTTGATTTTCACAAAATGCATATCAAAAAAAAGCTTATTGTTTTAAGTATACTCTATTAAAATTTTATTAGGATTAGTGATCTATAAAAAATGTTATAGTAGTTTTCAAATGCAAAAAAAATATTAGCAAATGCAATTTTTTTACAGTAGTGATTTTGACATATTTTTCTAAATTTTTAAAATGAGTGGGTTTTAATCTCTTAATTTTAGGGAAAGGGATACCTTAAATGCTTTAAGTCGAAGATAAATGCAACATCATTAAATTTTCAGTATTCAGTATTTATAAATACAGCAAGTTATAAATCATGACTAAATATGTAACTACACTTGATAACATAGGAAAATCTAAAACATGTACAATATATAATATTTCGACTTTTGTTAAAAAAACTGAACATAATGATTTTGTGAAAAGATTGAAATGACGATGTTGAAGTATTAGTCAGAATAATAAAAGAGAAGGAAAATAACTCATTGTTTATTTTTGCTCTTAAAATCTAATGCACAATATATTTTTGAACCATATTTTATCATTAAATTTATATAAAGTTCTTGAAATTTAATAATGACGTTAGAATCACATATAGTCAAATTATACAAATATTTGAAGCTTTAAAAATTTATTGTATTGTTGTAAATCTTCTGTCTATAGCTAATTTTGAATATGCTTTGAAAATACAGGGTGGCCCACCACTCACTGACAACTTAAATAACTTTTGATCCAGTTAATATTTTTAGTTGATTTTTTTTTTAAATAATAGTTATACGTTAGGTCTATAGCTATATCTCAATAATTAATTTTTTTACATTTTATTAAAAATATTAATTATTTTTAAATTTTAAATAAAATGTAAAAAAAAAATCTAAGATAGCTATTTTGTAGAGTAGAATTTAAGAAAAATTTTAGTAAAAAAATATCTTATTAATATTCAGTAGTAAATATTCTGTAGCGTTTTGAAGTTTGTGAAAATTTGAATTTTCATGTACTATTTTACGGTATTAAACATTGAAATACGTATTGAGAAAAGGACAGAAGAAAACGCTATCTTTTCATGATTACTGTGTATACATATGATGATAGTGTGTATACATTACAAACTTGGCATAAATACCATGATAAGAAATTAGATAAGGCAATTATTACTTATCACTCTCATTCAAAAGTATATTGAAAAGATAGCGTTTTCTTCTGTCCTTTTCTCAATACGTATTTCAATGTTTAATACCGTAAAATAGTACATGAAAATTCAAATTTTCACAAACTTCAAAACGCTACAGAATATTTACTACTGAATATTAATAAGATATTTTTTTACTAAAATTTTTCTTAAATTCTACTCTACAAAATAGTTATCTTAGATTTTTTTTTTACATTTTATTTAAAATTTAAAAATAATTAATATTTTTAATAAAATGTAAAAAAATTAATTATTGAGATATAGCTATAGACCTAACGTATAACTATTATTTAAAAAAAATCAACAAAAAATATTAACTGGATCAAAAGTTATTTAAGTTGTCAGTGAGTGGTGGGCCACCTGTATATTTATTCCGAAAATTATTTTTAATTTTATATAATTTATTTTTTGCGATGGACAGAATAGCTGAGTACTATAATAAAGTTAAGAGATCTCCTTTTTGAAGTCGAAAGCCTTAAATGGGCTTTAAAAATAAATAGAACACTATATTTTTGAGTTTTATTATTAATTATGCTGATAACTAATATATATAAATATATTTACAAAAATCGACATAATAATTACTCTAGAAAATAATTTTTAAATTGTTTCTTTAAGTTTCGACGAAGATATAATTCTACTAAATATTTTACATTATTTAATTTCAGCAGTTAATACATTTAATTTTATGAGAAACCACAACTTTAAGTATGAATGTGTATAACTTGAATCGCGTTTAATTGTTATAACTTCCAAAATATTTAAAATAATTGATACCATCAAATGGTATTATCCACTATAATAATAGTTAAGATAATAATGAGTTAAAATTAAAATAGCACCTAACTTTTAAAAGTTAAGATATGTAAATAAATGTTTATAAAAATAGTATAAATTAAAATTAACTTAAAACACATTTTGTGTTAAATAATTATAGTGAAAGTAGATTCAACATAAAATTCTGAATACGCTAAACAAGATGAACAAAAACTCTCATTTTCTCAAAAACTGTTGAATATTTAAAATTTTTATAAAGAGAAAAATTATTTTGTCCAAAAAGCTTTAATGTAATATGTGAACAAAGAATGTTTTCTTCCCTTCAAGGTTAAAAAACATTGAAATTAATTTTCTTAAATGGGAACCACTATTTTTACTTTTTTAACGTGATAATATGATAGAAGAATAAATTACAAACAACTTTATTTATCCGATCAGCTTGTTTATTTGTTAAAACATGTTTTAGTCTTTATTTTTTTAAATTTTATTGTTATCTTAACGATTGAAATGCAGTAATCTTTTATTTACTACGCTGTCACATTAAACCAATTTTCTATTAACTAAGATAACAGAATAGAATATTAAGATAAAAAGTTTACTTGAAAAATGCCTTAATACATATTATTGGTTATTGAAACAGATTATTTCTGCCGCCGATACTATGAAACTAAATCATGATAAATTATTACTTGAAAGTCAATTCTTTAAATAATCATAAAACGCTAACTATTGGATCGGATAAAAAAAATTATAAGAACAAAATTGTAATTTTTTTTTTTTTATATATATACCATAATATCAAGTTCACAATAGCAATTCCCAAATAAAAAAATTTTATTTAATGATTTTTATCCTTGAATGGAAGAAAAAAATTATTTAATTTCATATAATTGTTGTTTTTTAAATCTAATATTTTATTTTTTTCAAAATGAGTGTTCTAACAAATTTTGTTTACAAGTATATATTTAGGTACTTGAATATAATAATAATTAAATATACCGTAGCTCTAAGAAATAAAGACATAAAACTAAATAAAGAGTAGTCATTTATTTATAGCTTTAATTTTGTTTTTTTTTATTCGATCATTACATGTTATTTTTTTCAATGAAAATTACATTATTAAGATTGTATAATATTAAATTAATCTATATATTAAATATAATTGATCAAATTTTATTACAATTATCGCAAATAGAATTAAAATGAATAATAGTAAGTAACGGATTATTTTTTCAAACATGGTGGGTACATTAATTTTCATCAGAAATACTTAAGTATGTAAATAATAATACTATCAACATTAAATGTTAAAAATAAAAAATTTATCCGTTTTTAGTTTTTCATTTTGAAATTACGAACGTGTGTAATTAAGTTAATATAACTTCAAAATGAATGTATTTCGTTATTAATCTTTACGACAATCATAAATAATCTTAATGCAGCTTCAATTATAATACGAGTGTATACATATTATAAATAAATAAATATATTAAATGCGGTAATAACCATGTTTTCAAGAGTTTGTAATCATATACATTGTCAAAAGAAGTTTTAATAAATCGATTTTGTAGATTTTTTTGAAAACATAAAATATTCTTAATCGAAAAATATGAAAACGTATTACAAATAATAATTCTTTACGTGCTTATTTTTTACGAAATAATTATAGTAGCGTAGTCAAAATTTTAATTCCTTAATTAGTTAATTTTAAATTAAGGTCCGACCTGGCCCGGGCTCAAACATTAAATTATTACGGTCCGACTCGATTTTTGGACCGGTTTAATTCGGATTGGATCGCATTAGTCCGGCCTGGACTGATATCAGTATAGATCCTACCTCTGCGTACACCATTGAATAATTATTTAGGATAATAATAATAATTATTCAAATAAAGTTAATATTTTTTATTATAGTTGACTCATTATCAGTGAACTATAAAGCTATAGCTCTTCCATTACTATAATATTAAAAATAGTAGGCTCCCCTCTCAATATGTATATACCTGGGTTTCGTGCCTTGCACACTCTGAATATCTGGATTTTGGTATATACAGCAATAATATTATAATAATAATAACTTACACAAAAACTTTTTATTATTTACCAGATGGTTGGTAAAAAGATATAAACACTCACTTGTTTGAACACGAAAATAAACAAAGCAAATCTCATAAGTATAAATGAGGTAAAAAGAGTTCTGTTGAGTATATTAATAATGATTCTATAATTGAAAATAATGTAACATATTATACATGTTAATGTTAAATTAATCATAGTGATAATATTTGATGAGGTTACAAATAAATGAACTTTAAACTATATAACAGCTTTTAATATTATTATAACAAAGGTTTTTATAATGGGGAGATAAAATTTTTTTTTACTATTTGTTAAGTAATATTAATTCCAATTTCACAAACAATAAAAAAATATAGGAGTCAAGTTTAAAGGGTATAATGAAAACGTAATTTCAAAATTAGTCCGAACACAAAAGTGGAATAAAGAAAGGAGGGCGGCACCTAGTGTACACTCACTAGGGTGGGGAAACAAAAAGTAATTATATCACATATTTTATATTATCCGAGCATCTTAAATGGACTAGCTAGAAATTTTAAGAATTTTGGTATAACTTTAGAAACATCTAAAATTAACAATTTAAGAGATTTATTAGGTAACCATAAAGATAAAGTAGAAGAAGAGGGAAATCGGACATTTATAAAATACAATGTGAAAGTTGTAATAAATGTTTCATAAGACAAACAAAAAGAAATATAGGGGCCAGGTTTAAATGCGCTTAAGAAACATTAAAAATTAAGACGTTGATAAATCCCCTGTGATCGAACATTTATTGACACATAATCACTACATTAAAACCATAAAACTAATTAAAAACGTATATAATTCTAAAGAATTTTGTATAAGGAAGGCAACAGAAATGTATAAAAATATGAACAATTTAATTAATTGAAATCTTGGTTCATTATTGTACATCATTGAAATATTCATTATTAAACTACTGGTGTAGACTGGCAAAATGTGACAATATTACTTAGTGATAACGTTACCAGAGGTATTAAGGGGTTTTTTTTTTAGGTCAGTGTCAGTATGTGCTGTAATGGTAACACTGTATCCAAAATAAGTATTCGTGATTTTTTAGTATTTTTTTGTGACTTAGTGAGTTAAATAACTTAAAAAGCCACAAAAAATTTAAATTTTCATTAAAATAGTATTTCATATATATCAATAATAAGATACAGTGTATGTAAAAAATATTCCGAAATAAAAAAACATTTTTTTTTTTTTAATAAAATTAATTTTGACCTCTATCTCACCTAGGTATTATATATATTTTACAAAATACCATGGGAGTATTTGTAAAGAAGTTATTTATTAATTTATTGTATGAGTGTGATGGGAGTTTATGCAATCGACAATTAATTTTTTAATCATTAAAATGAATATTAAAACTATATTAATAATATACAATTTTTTAATAATAAAAATAACAATAATTATTTCAAACTATGGGGCTCTTTATCTTGGGCCATAGACCAGTTGGCCCAGGCCTTAGTTCTGTCTGTGTATGTATATATAAGTGTGTTTTAAATTTGTGGGCAAATAATTAAATTATGTTTAAGCAATTCAAAAAGAATACAATAAAACAGAAATTTTTATGAGATCATATGGCTAAAAATAAAAATAAAATAAATATTACATCCATCCTATTAGAGTGAGTAAATAACTATTATACAAGAGCAGTTATTCTATGAAGGTCTTTACCAACAGCTAATGCTAACAAGAATTATAATTATAATTTTAGTACTAACTTGAGTTATAAAACAACATTTTCAAGGTTGCTAACATCAATTATAATCTATATAATATACCCCTCAAGAGGACAAAATAAATTTGTATTTTTTATTAAAAATGCAAATTATTTAGATTAATTATAAACATATAGAATTATATTATTGTCATTTAAGTTCTTATTAAACATAATTATATTAACATAGTATTTCACACCATGATTTTTATTGATGATTATTACTAATATTTAAAATACTTTTATAGGTAATTTCCAAAGAGAAGGTTTCTCCTTTTATTTTGAGATTAATTACATTTTTGAAACTAAAAAAAAAAATGAAATTGATGTTTGCAAAAATTTTAATTACATAGCTCTGTAGTTAAAAAAAAGTTGTGGTTTTTATTATTTGATTTATTAGATACACCTCTTTTATTGACTAAATATAATACAATAAGAAATTTTTAATCAAGTAATTAATGGTTAACACAATTAGAGTTAAAAATAACATTAAAAATGCTCATTTTCTCAAATTTGATAGAATCATTTTGTGAAAATACTAGAAGCCAAATTTGAAAGATACAACAGTATTTAAAAAAAAAATGTTTAAAGTAAAGGATTTTGACTGTTCTAAAAAAACAGTTTTGCAAAATAGAAATGTGACATCTAAAATCTGTTAAAAGAACATCAATTGAGAAAATTACTTAATCAGAAAATTTAATTAAGGTTTTATTGTAATTTTTTATAATAAATTTATTATAACAATTATCAATTGATTGTTAAACAACTTTTAGTAACACTAAAAAAATAGTTTAAGAATTATTTAAAGTTTGAATATGTAAAACAAATAACATATCTTGTTCAAACAACTACTACTGCAATAACATGATAAAATATTGATGTAATATTGGACCCCAAGTAAAAATATTGTATTTTTTTGAAATAGAAAATGCCTTTTTTTTGTCATTTATCTATATTGTATCTTTTTATATCATAGGTATGTGCATTAGTTGTATTGTCCTGATAAAAATAAATATGTACCATTTTTAAAATAATAAAACTTAAGTATGTATCAGGGCTAAAAATCTATACTCAAATTTTGATTTTAATTTCAATTATCGATATATCAATTTGCCAATTTGGATTATTAGAATTTCAGTTTATTAATTTTTATATATTTAATCAATTTTTCTTATTGATTTTTTATTTAAATAATTTTTATTTTGATTTCACATACTGATATTTCAAAAAATAAATTATGGTACCAAATATAGATTTTTATATATAATGCCTAGAATTAAATTTTTACAGAATGTTGCCATTTGAAATTTAAAAGTTATCTTCTTGATAATGCTTTTATAAAAGAAAGTAAAAAATGTCAACTATAAATTATTTTTTTATAACTTTTATGAATGAATTATTTATTCATTTAGAAAATAAAATACTTTTATGTGGTTACTTCTATCTTACTTTGTCATAAAATAAAGCTGGTTCATTAAATTCTGATAATCATGAATATTAAATAGATTATTATAATCTAAAGAATAATAATATTAATGGCAGTAAATTTTATACTATTGTCATATAAATAGTATACTAATAAGGGGGTTCTAGAAAGTCTGAATCTCCTAATTCATTTCCAATTTATTTCATTTAAATTTTGATAATAAATATCCAAAATTATTTTGATTTTTATAATTACTTTAGTAACCAATTTTCATTTTTTCCAATTTTTATTTTTATTGATATTAAAATTATTGAAATCAATTTTAAGCCTGGTAAATATATTGTTCATTATTTTTATGTTTAATGTCCTCTCAATTAAGAAACTTAACTCTTGTTTGAGAGAGGTTATGAAAAAATGCATTTCTTGCTGGTTGGGTTAATATGATATTAAACCATGATATCTGTGCATTGAGACAAAAAACATTCCTGTCTAAGCTATACGGGTCACCTATACATTGTTATGAATTATGTTTAATAGGCGAAAAAAAATGTTTAGATTACCTTGAAAATTTGATCATTTTTAGCCCATTCCATATAATATGTCTATTTTTTTTCAAAAGAATAATGTATATACATATTAATTTTTAAACAATAAGTCACAAGACAAGCATTTTTATATAATCTTTTTTATTATTATTTTTTTGTATCCTTACAGAAGAGTAACAATGTGATCATTGATAGACACTACTACTACAGCACTATTATGTAAATTTGATGTAGGCTACCACATTATATGAAATGATTGCCAAAATTATAAGTGTGCATCAATTTTTTAAGTTAATATTTAAAAACATAAAAAATGCAAAATACCCTATAAAATAATGGCCAAAATTATAATTTACTAATTTATATAAATAGATACTCTAGCAAAAAAAATTGGTGCTACATTTTTTAACTAAAATAATATGCTTTAAAATGCAATTTTCCAGTTTTTAACAATTATACCTATACTGTACTTATAAAGATACATTTATTACATAAAATAAATAATTTAAGAAGGTTTATAAATTATGTTTTAGTATAGTAAAAATTATAAGTTATTCCATAATTTCTTAAGAAATCTTTATCTATTCTATCATAACATTACCATTTCAGATTAACTACATCTAAATAACAAAGAGTCATGTTACTAAATTCAAAGAAATGCTTTTTGTTAAATCAACTAATTTTTCAAAATGAATAATAAAAATATAATAAATGTTTCTTATACGAGTATTTTAATTTAATTATGCTGGAAAATAAAAACTTTTAAATGACTTAATCAAGATAAATTGTTATTTTAACTAAAATAACAATGAAATATAGTCAAAAATTGAAATGCTTACCTTGACTAGTTCAAATGAGTTGTTGTTCGCACTGTTTTTCAAACATTTTTCCTTCATCAATTCCATACCTTCTTCAAGGGAAGGAATTGAAGAATTTAATTGGTCTATATTAGGTATATCATCAATAGGCAAAGATTCTATCTTCTTTTTAACAGTGTCTTTTAAATCATTAAGATCTGTATCTCCTTCAATTCCATTAACACCAAAGTTAACATTATTTGAAATAACTAACAAAAGTAAAAAAAAAAATTATTATTTCATGTAAATTTAAATAAACTTAGAAAACATACCTAAAGCCACAATAACTGCAGGTAGAATGAGATTTTTCATGATTAGTTTATTAGTTGTAAAAAGAGTAATTAAATCTAGAAATTACACGAAGTTATCACTTAAAAGAGCGGTTGGACGTCGAACTCGCGCAATGTTAATACGCAAACTAAATAATTTAATATGTTAAAAAGGTCGTCAAAAACTTAGTAGCACAATTAAATGGAAAGTTATTACAACAGCTGGCTTATTACACGTAACATTACCACCGTCTAATATCCATTGAAATTATTACATACAATTCCACACATAACACAAGGCAAACCAGGTTCCGGAAGTGACAGCAAACGAACAACAATTAAAACTAGTGGATTATAACAGCCGGCCGTAATTCTTCACAAAAATAGTGGGAAATTTGCGATTGAGAAGGTAATACGGACGTCATTACTAAGAATGATAAGATAATTTATTGATACTGATAGCAGTATATAACAATGCAGGACTAATGATAAAAGTTAATGTTTTCTGAAAAGTGAATGACTCTTAAAATGTAATTGAATGTTTCTCAATAAATTATAAACTTTTTAATAATTGAAAACAAATATTTATGTTATAAATAACATGAGAAATGTATAAATACACAATGATTCTTTTAACAGTAGCCACTAGATTTCTCTTAAAATTATAATTATATTAAAAATATTATTTTTGGTATTTTTTAGTTTCATAAATTTCTCGATTTATCAGTTAATAATTACTTTTTTTTAATCCCATATATATTAAAAGAGTGTTAACTATATATTTTTTTAATGGTAACTTCCATATTTAACTAGCCCATAAAATAATAAATGATCTAATTAAGAAAATGACTTGTCGATAACAACTTCTGACACATAATTTTTCAAATTATTACCATTTTAAAATATTGATTGGAGTTGAAGCGCGGGATGACAATTTTTATCATTAGACGATTTTTAGCCGAAACTTTCCTCCCGTTTAGGCGTAAAAATAATAATTTCTGAACTATTGGACCAAAAGTTGGTATCGAAAGTCGTTTTCTTGATTAAATAATTTCCTATTTTATAAGCTAGTAAAAATATTTCTTAACATTTAGAAAAATAAAGTTGACAGCCTTATAAGGTATTAGGAATAAATATAGAAAATACTTTATAATAGATAAATTGAGAAAAACTTGTAGCTAAAATAAACTAAAAAAAGACCTATACGTAATTCTTATTTTTCAATTAATTATTAAGTTTCTTGGGAGTTATATTATTTCTTTCCTAACAATAAAAAATTCATTTAAAAATACGTGTACATTTTGTTATATTTAAAACAACTCTAAGCGGCTCGTTAATTGTTCTAGGATTTTGCATTTCTATACTAATTCTACAATATTTATCATATTCACTTAGTAATATTTAAATTATTTTATGTATTTAACATACTTAAATAAGAATTACATCTTTAAATAAAATATTTTATTAATAAAGAGTACCAGGCTTTTTACAGACAAATATGTCAACAAACCCCTGTTCCGACAGTCTGTTCACTTATAAATGCATAAGTAATAATACTGATGGGTTCTATTAAATATTGACTATCGAAATATTCGATAGTAAATTCAAATCAATACTTAAAATTATTCGAATAATATTCATTATTTATTCATATGATGGATGATCTAAAATTATTGGAATAATTATTCAAATAATAAATAATGTCAAATTCTGTGGAAATACGATTTGTCATTTTGAAAAAAGCTATTAAAGCATTACGAGTGGTAAATTTCAACCAATCAATGCATAGTGTAAAATATAACAAAATTTAAATTTTTGGCGGAAAACTAATTATCTAAATATAAACCATAGATCTTCTAAACTTGTTTATACGATTTGTGATATAAACAGTGTATGTCAACTGCTTTATATAAATAATTTATGAAATTAATAAGTTTGTATTGATACATTTTAAATAAACGTATTCATGAATATGACATTAAATATCTATTTCTTAAATATATTCACCTATAAGTAAGGACCAAATGTTAATAAAATTCATGGTTTTCTATTTCTAGATTAATTATATTTAGTTTTGTAAACTATTCACAACAAATTAGGTTTGTTGAGATTTATTTATTTTAACATACAAATAGTGTTTAATACAGGAAGTTTTTGTGAGAAGTTGAAAATTTATATTCATGAGCTTTTAATTTAACATTTTCTTCGTTTAATCATCTTTATTTAATTTTAAATAATTGAAAAGCTTTTAAACGTAAGTCATTAAACATTTTTTGGCCTCTTTTCGCCTAGGTATAAAAATGTACCAAAAGAATATTGTTTGTATATAAACAATTAATTAAAATAATTACAACTTCCAAAATACTGGTTAAAAAGTTAGTTGGGCTATCCATTTTCTAAATTTGATCATTTTTTATTTTCTAAACTAGTTAAAATTTAATTATTAAAACAAATATAGTTTCAGGGATAAAATAAAATAAAATGCATACAAATATTCAATTAAAATTATTTCTTTTTACATGTAAAGAAATGAAAAATAGTAATTGAACTAGCATAACAACACAAAAATAAATGGTTGAATAACAATAAATTTAATACAAGAAGGCTTAAAAAATTTAAATAAAATTGCTCAAGATAAAAACTAGTTTCATTCGTTGTTCGCTGGATGATTATTTATCACACAAGTAGACTGTTGTTACACTTATAATTTTAATTAATACAAAAATATTCCATTAACCAAACGTAAAGCTAGGGTTTTTTACCTACCTATGAAAGAATATTATTTAAGTGTCTATAAAAGGATGTTAACTTTTCAAATATCATTTATAACGATCCTGCCAACATATATTAAAATGTTATCATATCGTGTATTGCATGAAGCGGATAACTGAATATTTCACTAATTCTCACTAGATGTATAACTTACACAAGAATTGCGGGAAACACATTGATTTCACAAAATAGGTTTCGTTGAATCACCTGTCTTATCTATAATCGTGAGTATAGGTAAGTGTAATAGGTAAAAATACTTTACGTATATCATTTTGAAATGGAAGAGGTTACAGACTTACAGGAGTGCATTTGCCTTTGTGCGGAGAGCATCACATTTGTTTTATTGCCCATGTTAAAAGAATAATGTCATAGATTAATAGATTAACACAGATAATGTTCTGGTATTATACATTATACATAATTTACATTAATGAACATAAAATTGTACCTATCTTTTATGTCTAAATGACTACCAGAGTTAAACGAATGTAGTTATTTTCGTATAACAAATTGTTGTTTTCCGTTTCTGTTTAATTATTTTATTAATCAAGTATTTTTTAATAATTGAAGTATATAAATTAACCAAACTATTGACATATCTGAGGTGTAATAATAAACCGATATATATATATATATATATATATATTATAATAGTCATGTGGATATCCATTATAGTGGTTATCTAAATCAATTTATATATATATGTAAGATTTTAAATATTTTTTAGGTAAAAATCAAATATTCTTCATTTAACTGGGAAAGGACAGTTTAACACAAAATTATTTATTTATACACTTTTTTTTTAGTACAAATACAACAATTTTGGTTGTTCACATTTTGTTGGTATCATTCATACTAAGTGATGTATACAAAAAACTTAAAACAAGCAATTTGCAAAAAAGTTTACGATGACTTTTTTGCAAAATTAAAAATTAAGCAGTAAAAAACCAAAAAAACTGCAAATTTTTATTTTTTCTAAACTAATAAATTGATAATTTTAATAATTTAATATAGAAAAATTATTATGAATGGATTTCTCAAAGAAACCAACATTTTTAAATTCTTCAGAGTACTTAAAATAAAATTTACTTTTTAATAAATTTTTAAGTTTACCAGATTTTATATACAAGTATAAATTAAAAAATATTTATCTACTTCTCATTTATTAAAAACCTGTAATTAAAACTTAATACACTAATAACATTATTTTTGTATAGTTTAGAAAAATTTTTTTAGAATGTGTGGTATTTTTTTTATATTCTTAAATAAAACTTTATTAGTTTTTTAGACTTTATATTATTGTAAAATATAGTGTTCAACAAATAAAAATATTAAATATAAAAAAATAATTTAAATAACAATACAAGCTTAAAAGATAATTTAGGTTATACAAAAATGTACAAATCTTTGGTAACAAAATAATCTATTATAATTAAATACTTATACAGATGTATTATTACACATCATTTATATATTAGATAATAACGTAAATGTTTAATATAATAAAATAAAATATAAAAATATAATACTAGTTAAAATATTTACTAAAAATAAAATAATTCAGATATAAAATAAGAAGAACAGTAACATAAGTAATAAAATTGATAATAAACTATTTTACCAAAAAGAGTCAATACTAAATGGTAAAACGAGTAAGATATAGCAGCAATAACAATTATTATACATCTCATATATTAAATAACTTTGATAATTTTAGATTTATTATTATTCAGAAGGAGGCTTGGTTTCTGGAACACATTTCCTAAAAACAAAAACAATTTTTTTTATTAATTTTTGTAAAATTTTAAGATTACTTTTAAGTAGATTATATAAAAATAACCGTGATAACATTTAATTAATTTAAGATTATTTTAGTCTGGTACATACCATCATACAAAATATGAAATTCAATATTTTTTCTGATAATATTAATATGTATTAATATAAGTTTATACATGTTAAAGAAGAGACAGAATAGGAAAATGTATGAATTTTGAAGGAAGAAGAGATAGAGACAAAAAAAAAGATTGAAGGATGTTATTGAATTTGATATAAGGACTTCTGATGTATGCAGTTGATGTGGAAGTTTAGAACCAACTTTTGGCATTTGGGCTGACCCCAAGTAGTTGGGATAAAGGTGAGGAAAAAGAAAAAGAAGAGGATAAGTCTATACAGATTAAAATGTGATACTAGAAATTCAAATACTAACCAAGTAAATACAATTATAAAAGTAGTAAATGCAATGAATGGTAAAAATGAATACTGTTGAAGGGCAAGTGAAATTATAGGAAACATTAGGCCAACAATAAAATTACCGCACCAATTTGCAACACTATTTGCTGCCATAATGATTGGTCTGGGTCCAACATCAGTCATTTCTATAATAGCAATAAAATATATAATTCAATTTGAGAAAAACTATGTTTTTAATAATAATAAACCTGATCCAATGAAAAAAGGAATAGGTCCAAGTCCAACTCCATAGCATAACACATATCCAACAATGAAGACTACTGATAGATATGATAATCCAGTTATAGCATCCTTTATAAAATATATAAATATTGAAAAATTAAAAAATATTTTTAATTTTAAATAATAGTAGCGAAAATTCATATTAAATTCATAAGTAATTTAAACTAGTAAAAAAATACATAATTAAAAATTTCCTTAAAACTAACCATGGATGAAAGAACCATGTAAGCCATTAAACCAGTAAGCATTAAAACACAAGTCATACAACTAAAAATGAGCAATGACTTTCTTCCAAAACTATTAATAAATGAAGTAGACACGAGCGTTACGATGAAGTTGATTAATCCAGTTCCTAAATTTCCATATTGAGCAGCAGTATTGCTCATTCCAGCATTCTTAAAAATATCAGTCGAATAATAAAAAACCTGAAATAAGTAATAAATGTATTTATTTTTATAATACATACATATTTAAGAAAATGTAATATATATATTAAAACAAACAAAAAATGATATTTTTATTTTTAAAGTACATAAAATGTACTATCCCAGGAATTTTAACGGGATTGTACTCAACAACTTCTCAAAGAATCATGTCGATTGGATGAATGGCGTAGTATAATAAAATGAACAGACAGACGATAGACATACATTAATTTATATATATAATAAAATCTTATATTAGATAAATTATATTATTGAATTGAGAACTATCTTTTATTATTTATTTAGTTTTCTACCAATATTATTCTATTATGGGATTAAGAAGCATGTAGTTTTTAAATAATAACATTAAATAAAAATTGATCTACTTACAGCATTGATTCCTGAAAATTGTTGACCAATCATTATAATACAAGTTATCATCAATGCTTTTCGATTTGCTGGACTACTTATAACTTTTTTTAGTGTCCAAGTTTCATTAGATACATTTAGGTTATCTAATTCCCAACTGACAGCTGATTCTGGTAATCCTCTTAATTTACTTAATTCTAAAAAATTAACAAATTTAAATAATATAAATTTAAAATTAAAATAGTTTTTTTCTAAATAAAATTATAATCATTTTTATTAAAAAAAAAAAATACAATTATTTTCAATCATTAGATTGGTAAACACTAATCAATTGTGATAGATTGATATAAATTTTTCAAAATTCGAACATGATGAATTTGTTAAAAATTTTTTTAACAAAATGTTTTGTCTAAAACATTATGGAGATATTGTTCATCTCAAATCTTATATTTTTTATATTATATAGTCATAGGCACAAATATGGTAAGGCTAGAGGGGCTTAGCCTTCCTAAAAATTATCTTGGATTTTCTACTGTCTAGTAGATAAAGCTTACATAAAGTTACTGTTTATTAGAGCAGCTGTGAACATGCATAACGATTGTCAATTCGGTTTTTCAGTGTATTGTATAAATAAATACAATAATTTACACTATTACACTCATTAATAGTCGTAGTTAGAGTTAAGAAATGAAAAGTGATATATTATTTTTTTATTCGTAAAGTAATAAAACAATAAAAAATTATTTCCATTTTTTAAATTTAAAAATTCTATAGCTAACTGTGATTTAAATGTCGATAATAATGTCTATTTGTTACCTGTAATCCTAAATAAAACAAACTTTTATTTAGCACTTCTGTTATATTAAATAATTTAATGAATGAAAATTCTTTAATATTTGGAACTATAGTCTGAACTAACAACTAATGCTAAAATAGTAGTAACTTTTTTATAACTTTATGTTATTAATTTGAATACATATTTAACTTTGAAAACTTTTTTAAGATATTCTATTTTTTAGGAACTATATTTGTAAAGATTTGTTAAAGTAAGAAATGATGGTTATCCAAAATTATTTGAAAGAAAACATCAATTTAGAAATGGTTAGAAATTTAGAAATCATTGAATGGTCAACATCTGTTTCTAATTATTGTATATTATTCAATTTAGCAATAATATTGCCTATTAATTCTGCCACATGTGAATGGTTATTTTCTGCCACGAGAAGAAAGAAGACACGGCTATGGTCAACTATGTTATAAGAAAGAATTAGTAGTTTAGGCATACTTAATATTGAAAAAAATATAGAAATTTATGTAACGTCAGTTTTAAATATTTTTGCGTTGTCTAATAGACAAATAATTAAACATTGTAAAAATTAATAATTTAGTTAAAATATAATACTTATTACATTATAAATACTTCAGATTTTACGTGTTCTTTGTAATCATTGAACAACACATATTGTATATTCTATGCTAATATTACAAAATATTTTGGGTATCTTTTATAGTTAAAATATTATTATACAGATAATGGTAAAATCAGACATTTTAGCAGGCCTTGTTGGTACAAGATGTAATTTTTTCTATGAAAACAGTAACTTTTGGGGGTTTATTTTTTAGTTTTAGTTATTATCGAGGTGGACATAATGCCCATGCACTCAGACCTGTTGGTCCATTGTGCGCACCTCATACCGAATTGTCTTGATTCGGTTTACCTACCTAAGTGTTAATACATTACCAATCATAAAGTCACCTCTAAAGATGACCAAAGAGTCCTGTCTTTCTGGCGAAATTAAGTATCTCTCTGGGTTTTAGGTTTTTAATATCTTCTTTTTCAGGACAAGGTTTATTCAAGTAATTTGATCTTAGTGTAGACAAGGCTTCACATTCGCACATGATGTGAAATGAGTCTTCCTCTTCTACTCCACACTTCCTGCGTAATGGTGATTCCTATACCCCCATTGGGTTAAGATGTTTAAGCAGGTAACTTTTAGGGGTACTGTATATTTTACAAATAATTTTTGGTACTTGATATCGAGGGTAGCGAGATAAATTATTCTGGGCTCAGCCCCCTCCCCAAATCTCAAACAATAATTACACCTATGTATATATTATATTTGGATTGTTTAATTTGGATAAGTTTTGTTTATAATTTTGAAGGTTTCGTTCAATTTCAAAAATCAGGGTTTGTAATATCACTTATAGTTTTATTTTATTAAAAGATTAAATAAATGAATAATAATGAACCAAGTTATTACCTGATAATGCTTTTCTATAATTATCACGTACTGTGTATAAATATTTTGGGCTTTCAGGAACAAATGGTAATGTAGGAACAACTATTAATAGTACTCCGGCATATAGACTGAACAAATATGGCCATAGATAGTCATTACCTATATAATTAAAAATCAGGTTTTTCTATCATATTATATTATAATATTATAATTGCATATTATTATCCAATTAAATAGACATATTAATAAATAAATTTAAAAAACACATAAATGTTTGTTAGATTCTAATACCTAAGAGATTTTCCAATCCTAAACCTTGAGAAGAAAGCACTCCTAAGTTAAGACCAACAGTGAAAATTACTCCAAATACACCCTCTTTTCCTAAAGGTGCTAATTCTAATAAGTACATTGGTACCATAGCCATTGTCAGACCTGAAAACAGAAACAGTTAATAAAAAATATAAATCTTGTATATTTTTATTAACATGTCGAGTTTGTTTTATTTTTAAAAATTATTAAACAGAAAGTTTAAAAAGTAATATATCAGTTTAATTATTAGAAACAATGGGAACAATAAAAACCCTTTATTTTACACATTGAAAACTCTGTATAAGGCATATAGACTACATTATTTTTTAAAAAACTTACCAGCTGCTAAACCTGCAATCAACCTTCCCAAAAAAAATAATTCGACTAGAGCTAATGGTTTACAGCATATAAAACAAATTCCAGATAAAACGTTCAACAAAAATGTAAGATTTAATGCACCTTTCCTAAATAAAAAAAAAGGTTTTTATGTTAGCAAAAATTAGAACTCTTTTAAATAAAGATATAGTAATAATTGGATTTTTGATTCCCGGAATACTACAATTATAATTGACCAATTTTTCGTTTTAGTATTTTTATCTACTTGTATCAGAAATACTTTACTTTTAATTAATCATTAAAAATAATAAAGAATAGAAACTATTTGATAATTTTACGAAATATAAAATTTCAAAATTTATATAGAAACATATTATTAGCTATAAATAATTAAACCTAGACAGTAAATTCCATCCTACATTCGGCGAAGTATAGGAAAAATAATTAAACATGGATAAAACATCTAAATCTTCAAATATATTTGGTTTAAGTTTTACACGGATTATAAAAATTAACATTGATTTAATAACAAATTTTCATAACTGAGTACTAGTTATATTAATCTACTATTATATTAAATTTAAATGGTGAACATGATAAAAATATTAATACCATTCAAGAAAATTATCTCTTAGAAATTAGATAACTCCTTGATTAATAACCAAGAAAATATAGAAACTTTTATTGTTAAGTATCCATAACAATATCAGTTCATTTAAAAACAAAAACAATGCGAGTTATTTTCAAATTTTATTAAAATTACAATTTAAAGTATGTAGTATGAAATTAATTTTTTCCGCTGCTATAGTATTTTGTGCATATTCATTTGTTGCTGCTCAACATGTTGAATGTAAGAAAGCAAAAAAAGAATGTAAGCCACACATGTTAAATGGTCACTATGTTAAATGGCCAAATCAAAAAGTGGAATTGACTTATTTACAGAGTAAACAATTTATACCTAAGAACATCATTTTTACACGGTTTCAAATCTGTGGAGATTATGTATACTTAGTATCCCCGCGATACAAGTAAAACTCAGTTTAATATAATTTTTCGGATAAATAATATGAAATTACATTTAATTTAACGTTAGATCTAACAAAACTGTTTTAGAGAAGGTGTACCGTTTACATTAAGTAGTGTAACACTCAACGATAGAGATCAATGTTATAATTATGTTAGGCCTTTTCCAACATTGGCAATAAACAATATTGACGATAAAGGTGTTATAATAAACGCAATCGACATATACATGGGCCAAGATGGTATAGTATGGGTATTAGATATAGGAATTATTAATACTCTAGAAGAAAAACCAATTATAAAGAGTGAACCTAAGATCTTAGGAATTAACTATGGAAATGGTCAAGTAAGTGATATGATTAAGTCCATATGATGACTTACAATTATTTCAAGTCTGAAGCAGTAAAAAATTACTGAAATTACAAAGTTTATATTTCAATCCGACTTTTCAATTTGTTTTTGAAATAAAAAAAAATTAATAAAACATTCAAATTTTTCATTTTAAGTATAAAAAATAAGAGAACAACTGGGTCAGACAATAAAATGGAGGTATAAAATATAAATATTGCAGACGTTTTAACTTTCTAGTTGGCATCGTTTTCTAATAATCTTGAGTAGAATATTTAATTCACTTTAAAATGCCCATTAATCACTGGTTCAAATCCAATAGAATATTTTCAATACCGGGTCACTTCTAAGGGGATACTGGTTGGGTGTGAACGTACGCCGTAAGCACTTAAATATAAAGCATTATAAATTATAGAATTGAAGACCTGTTTCTTAAAAAAAAAAATAAAAAAATCGCAATGAATAAAATTGTTTTTTTTTTTATGAGCAAAAATCATTGGGTCGACATAATGGAATTTTACCCCGGGTGGCACAATTCCAAAATGTGGCTACGACAATAAATATACCAATGAATACTGAATTATTTTTCTCTAAAAACTATTTAATTATCAACTAAAACAATATTATGAATCGACTTTTAATTTTTTTTTGTTTATTTCTCAAAAAAAAAAAAAATTTTTTTAAAGAAGTACATTATTTTAGGTTATTCATACGATACTCTTAGGATTACTAGTTTGTCGTGATCGGAGTCGTTTACAATACTTAGTAGTTGAATATATCGATAATGATAACCCAATTGTTTACGTTGGTGATTGTGGAACACGCTCAATAATAGTTTGGAATGTGGTAAGCAATGAAGGATACAAGGTAAAATTATCAAGAGGAGATACATCATCATGTGATGATAGTGGTTTCGAAGATGTTTTCTATTTGGTTTTAATAGAAACCTCTAATTGCAATTACATTTACTTCACATTTCTATCGAGTGTAGATATGTATAAAATACGAACTAAAGACTTACGCAAACGATTTAATTCTAAATGTATAGTAAATGTTGGCAGAAAACCATGTAAAATGATCATCTTAGGGTCAGCTTTTGGATCAGTGATATATTTTCGTATTAAAGGACTTAATAATTTGTACAGTTGGGATACAAAAGAAAGCTTTTTAGAAGAAAACATGATGCTGGTAAATACATATGTAACGAAATTTAAAAATGTTCATAAAATGTGTTTTTTTAATACTGCCTATTTAATTATAAACATTTAAATCAGTTTTCAGTGAACAGATAACTAAATTCCTGTATATAATTGTATGAGTCATACAATGTCAAAAAACGTATTTTAAATTTTATTTTATTTTATTTTTTGAAGTTAAACGTTAAACGGTTGATTGACTTAGATAAATCAAATGAAATATTTTTTTGTTTTAGCAAAATTATTAGCTGATTTAACAGTGTTTTTTAACGTAGGCCTTTTTAAAATTAAAATAATAATTTAAAATTTTTATAATTTCTATTTCATAGGTAAAGAAAAGTGTGGATTGTCGAACAATTACACATATCGACATTGATAACGACGGTGTGTTATGGGAACTTGAGAGTAATATTGAAGATTTTGTGGGTAACACTGTAGGATGTTATGGTGCTAGTGTAGTATTTAAACCGATATTTGGAAAACCAATACCTTTGCAACCGTGTTAATCGATATTTCTTTAATATATCAATAGTTATAAAATAAAGTTTCTATTACCTGCCCAAAGCATTTGCTAAATTCCCTCCAGCAGCGCCACCAACAATTCCACCAATCAAGAATATTGATACCAGTATTGACCAAACTATATCTATTTGAGATTTAGTTAATTCTATTGCATATCGATGTAAAATGGTATCATTACACCAACTTTTTACAATCTAAAAATTTTATTTGACAAAAATATAAAATAAAAGTATTTTTTATTAATTTAAAATATTATTTGATTCACAAACTTACCCCGGCAGGAGCATTGACAACTCCTATATTATAACCGGTAGGAATAGAACACCCTAAACTAATACTAATAGTAGTTATGAAGAGAATCCAAGATGTTTTGACATCCTAAAATTAAATTTAAAATTATAATTGTCTTGTAAATTAAATTCTGTAATTAAATTAATGATTTCCAATCTCCAATAAACTTGAGAATTAATATCGCAGTGATAACTATAATAAGTATGTAATTTATTAAATTAACTAAAATATAAAAATACATTTCTTATTAAAAAAAGATGCAACTGTAATTTAAAAATCAAATATTTTTGACACTAAAATAAATTTTTTAAAAATAATTTGCTACACTATAAATATTTATAATTTTATATTAAATGATTTTCAGTATAAATATAAAAACGAATTTATTACTTTAATGGGAAGTTTTTGAAGTTTGGGGTCAATATTTTTGTTTTTATCTTGGATTTCTTCCATTTCCTCATCCGAATTGGTTTCTGAAAAATAAAAATAAGGTGACCAAATAATTCTATTAGAAATACATCTAATAATATATAAGTACATAATTAATTTTAAAAAAAATCATTAAGATTACATAGAACTTTTTAATTATTTTCTAAATATATTGAAGCTATATTTTATACTTATTTCAAATAAAATGAAAATAATAAAATTATCCTCCAAGCTAATGAACACTACTCATTTTAAGTCACATTATATATTAAATATATACTACACATTTATACAAAAATATGTAACATTAACATATATTTTGAGGGAAATATTTTTATAGTCGAGTTTATTTGTACCATGAAATTTGATGAGTGTAACTGAAAATAAAATTTAAAAAAGGTAATCAGTATACTCAGTTTTAAATTCTTTCCTCTTATAAATTCGTTACTCTTCATAAATAAATATATTACCATAAATTTTTAATGGAAAATTAAGGAATCTAGTAAAATTGAGTATGTAAATCCAAATTTTCATTTTTAATATTTTTTTATATTATCAATCGTTGAAATATTATTCTGAGTGAAAATTATAGCCTTCAAATATTATTTAAAACAGTTCTTTTTATATATTTTACTTCTTATTAGTTTAAATTGAAAGAACAATTAATTATTGAATTTCAAAAATTAAGTATTAAGTTTATTATCCTTTTAAAACTAAAGTTTTGGTATTAAAGATGCAAAATACAAATAGAAAGAATATTTATTTATTTTTAAATTGAACCTTAGTAATACTCATTAAAAAACTTACTAAATTCATTTTGAGGTAATGAGTTATACAATATATTTGTAAATTATATGTAACTAACTATCCAAAAATAATAAAATTTACTTTTTAGAAAAAATATTTATTTTTTGCTAAAATCAAGAGATGTTTTGTGAAAAAAAAATCACAAATTACTAGTTGACGTTACGTTAAAAGGTACTTGAAATGTTAAATAAGTTAAAGTATCGTTAAAAATGAATTAGAAATTATTAAGATAAGCATAAGAAATAACTACTTAGTTTATGTATACATGAAGTTCAAAGAATTATCAACGATTGCTGGAGATACCTTATAAACTGTATTAATTAGTAAATTATAAGTTAAATATCACTTACAAATTTTAATGAATAGCCTAAAACATGTTTTCTTGATGATTAGAACTGAATTTTATTTAAATTAACTAAACTCAATGAGTGATGATTAGTATTGAAATGTGTTTAAATATTTTATTTTAAATGATACTAATAATTTAATTTTTTTGTTTAATTGACACTTATTAGACATCAAGTAAGTCGTCACATAAATAGATTATTTAACCAATCTGGGTCTTTTATTTTAACTAAAAAGTTAATAGGTTGGATAAGATTTAATTAAAAATTTTGTAACGTAATTTTTGACCTCGATATATTATGTATTAAATTTATATGGTCGTAAAGTACCAATTTGTTTCTTTTAATATCTGTTAATCATCACAGAGCATTTTATTAATGATTCAGTCACACACGAAAAAGGATATTGTCCAAATAGGAACATGTGTTTTTTTTTTTAATAATTTCCTAATACCACTTACTAGTGAATTGAAGATTACCTTTTAAAATTTAGCTCTTTAGCTTTGCTATAAATATCAAATTTCATTACACGTAAGAAATAACAAAAGTATAATTACCAAAACAAATTATGAATTCATAAGTTATTCATTTTAGTTATTATATTTCTTTATGGTAAATGGCGAATAATTTAAATTTAATATCTAATACCTAGTACCAAAATACTTTTGGTTTGGTTTGGACTTGTTAGAGAAGAGAGGAATCGTAAGCAGTAAGAATAGTTATGAAAATGAATATTGAAGGAAGAAGAGGTAGAGGATAACCAAAAAAGAGTTGGAGGTTAAAAGGATAATATATAAAATACCACCTCTCATTAAGACTAGTCATACTCCTAAAATACTTTTAATTACCTTATTTAAAAATGAGTTTAAATTAAATCAAACCTATTACAGTAATTAATAAATAAAAAAGTAAAAGTGTTTTGATGTTTGTTTAAAATAATTTTAATTTGAGATTTATAAAACATTAATTTTGAACTGACATGATTTACGTCGCAAAAATGTCAGAACAAAAAATTTTAAAAAATAGTTATGTTTACATATGTAAATATATGTACAGAATACACGTAATCCATTAATTACAAGCGTGTTAAAAATTAATACATTTAAAACGTTATAAGAATAAAATAATTAAAAAATATTAATTGTTTTAATATAGTTATTTAAATGTAAAACTTTTATCTGTTGAGTATTATTATAAATTATACATGCTAAGATATTTTATGAATTAACTTAAATATATTAATTTGCTCTAATAGGAGGTAATAACTCTTAAAATTAAATAAAAGCGAGTATTGTAACATATTACCGATCAAAAAGAAAAATTTTTATTTGATAAATTATACAAAAAGTTTTTGTACTAAGTTATCATAAAAATATAATTATAAATTTTTTAAATATTTCCTAGTATAAATTGCAACAGTACAATTAAAATTTTACAAAAGTGATTTTTATTATTAATGATAGAATGATTTTGTCTTTATGATACTAAAAGTTATGGAAATAAAACATGTATAATTACAATTTGTCTTATGATTAACCTGTATAGGCTAAACTAAGTTACGTGTTGTTGAAGTATAAACGAGAATTTGTTAGAATGAACATTTTTATATTAAATTTCTTAATATCTAAAAAATATTTAAACTTTGTTAATTTGTAAAAGTTAAACGTAATTAAAATAAAAAAAAAACATGTTGTTATAAATCTATGGGAAGTAAGTAGCATTAAGTAATCATGTACATAATAAACTAAAAAGTCATTCATTTTTATATAAAATTTTATTTTGAAACTACGTAATTTAAGTTAATTTACTTTATGAGTAATAACCAAAATTAATACTACATTAAACACTATTTAAAATTATAAACGTATTAATGTATTTTAAATGAAATGTTGACATTTTATATTTCATACAAATTAAACTATATGATATTTTCAATGCTTTAATGTAATAGGTATACTATACATTTTGAACATATAAATATTTTAAATATTAGTTATAAATGAATATGGATACCATAATATAAGTATTTATATTATGGTATCCATATGTTTTAATAAAATATTTTGTAAAAAATAAAATCATGTAATATGTTAAAAGCTAATTATCAAAAATACAATATACAAACATTAATCTTCTTTATATTATTTTTTTACATTACTTTTTTATTATAAATGAATAAAAAATCACTATTAATTCAATAGTGCAAGGCAATAAACTGCATGAAAAAAACACCAACCAAAACATTTCACAAGTCCATAAATCTTGAAGAAAATAAAATAACATAATTGTAGCCATACCATGACACATCATAGCTAAGAAATTATGTAAGAAAATAATTATGAAATAAATTAGTACCCCTAAATAGTTGTTATTTTCTATGTCAAATAAATAAACACCATTTAATAAAAGTGTCAACATGTACAATTAGCATATTTTAAAAGATTTATTTAGAATTGAACTATTATATTTTTATCGAGTTATTAAAAAGGATACATATAAATCCATTTGTAGGAGAAAACATACTAATTCCACTCATGAAACCAAACATCTCGATACCAATAAAACCGATTGACAGAGAATAACCGATCAAAAGTCTATTAAATATTTAGTAAAAACAAATTTGGTTAAAAATTAAATTAAATTAAGTACTATTAAAAATGTTATGTATTGGTGCAAAAGGTGTAAAATATTAGATAAATCAAAAAATGCATGGTATAACTAGTGATGATATTGTAAGATAAACAAAAATTAACAAATAATAAAAGTCAGAAGAAGTGTCTATTTAACATTTTTACTAGAATATATTATTTCATTTATTTAAAAAAAAAAAAAATGATTTTTCAAATGAAATAATTTTGTTTTTAAATTATTCATAGACCTTGAGTAGTCAAATATTTAATGACTAACTTCGTTGCTAAGTCGAATTGTTTTAACCCAAATTAGACATAGGTTATTATATATCTATTCAAATAGAATATTAATATCAAATACATTATCAAATTATATTATGATATTCTATGCAAACTAATTAAATACAAACAATACTAATCATTCATTTATAAAAATCTTGAAGTGATAAGTCTTCAAATATTTTGTTTACAATTATTTCAAATTATCTTAATAAATGTAAGTAAAAAAGTTTAGTCTACAAAATATTATAAAAAAATTACGTTTTAATTGGAAGAGGTTATTCAAAAAATAGAATTAAAAATCCATTACAAAATAATTATTTTATAAGTGTTATTTAAAAAAGTATGCAAGATGTGCCTCTAAAAATGACAAAAACTACCCAATATTCTTACATAAAATTTAATGTGTTAACCAAAACTAAAAGTTTGAATTAAATTAATACAAGTGGCTAAAGCTAAAAAATGAAGTCTAAAACTCAGTTACCTTTTGTCTTGAACCACGAACATATCGTTGTTATAATCGTAAGGTAGGCACGCCTTAACATTTTGCTCCTAATTATTTACAATATAAAAGTCTTTAAAATAAAATATACACTTGAAACACAAAGTTATACGTTAAAAGATAAAAATTGTGTATAAGTTAACTTAAAGCCTTTTATAAATAATTGGGCAAGATAAATTTAACAAAAAATTTTAGGGTTAAAAAGTAAAAAAAAAAATGTTCAATTATAATGGTCAAGAACTCAAACACATTTGATGGTATTTCGTTGGATACAAGTCAACTGCTCCAAAATAGTAGGTAAAATTCCAATCTACTTGTTATCTGTAGCCAGTAAAAATAAAAATCATAAAAAGGCATGAACTATAGTGTAATCTGCATGAGTTGTGTTTTCAATACCCGTTATGATCATACAGAGCTTGTTAATAAAATAAGTAGTTATGGATTCCCAATATAATTGTGACCAAACGGTACCTATTGTTCAATTACAATATTTCATATTTGGCCAATTTAAACTAGATATGAGAAATTTATGATCAAGTTCGTTTCTTTTTCTTCAAATTCCATGCTAAATTAAAAAGACTAGTGATAAAATAAACGGCCTATTATTATTGTCGTAAATAATTTATAGCCAATGAAATAACTTATTTTTTATGCGATAAACATCAGGCTAGTTAATGTTAATTGAATTTAAACAAAATTTAGAAAATATATGGAGTTTGATGTTAAACCAAACAATTTAAAGTTATAAATATAAGCTAAATTTTACACAAAATGGAATTTAGCAAATTATTAAAGGCATTATGGGTAACATATATGTAAATAATAATAATAATATATATCATTTTTTTAAGCCTTTTACTTTTAATTTTCATTAAATATTTCAATTTCAATATATCAATAGCAAAAGAATGTAACTTAATTTGAATAAATTATTTAAAAGGAAGAAAAGTAAGCGCTATTTTTCTATAGATCACAATAGAAAGAGGTTTTTTTTGATTTTCAATTATCTTTATTAATAATAGATTTAAAAATTACAAAAACGCTTAAAATGTGTTATTACTGTATTTGTCGAAAAAATAAAACATCTCGAAATGTCTATGGTATGCAGAGGATATAATGAATTGATTCCGGGATTTCCAAATTATACACTAGTATATTTATTTTTAATACTTTTTCATACAGAAATATACCATTGTACAGAGCCGTATTTAGAGATACTTAATCACTTATTCCCGTTGCCCTCCCCCTTAACACAGACCTGTGTTGATTATACTTAAAGGTCTGCAATACGAAAGCGATTCGATAAACAAATTAATTATGTGGACGATATCAAAATATTTACTTGATTCACTATGTGATATTTATGTTCTTAATTTTTATCTAAAATTAATAGTTGAAAATATAAAATCGAGAATTTTAACATAAAAATAGTATTTTATTTTTAACTACGACAGCCATTTGCCGTAGTTAAGAAGATTTTATTAGAAATTAGGGTGTCGGAACTTTTTTTTAACTTATAGTACGTAACATGATTATAGGACGCAGTGTTTTCGGAACAATTTCATAAGTTTTTTAAATTGAAAATGGTAAAATTAAAAAAATAATGCAATAAATTTCATATAATAAAATAATGGATGTGTTTATACATTTTGATAAATTATATAATAAATAAATAAACCTATCATAATAGAATTAATACCTTCTCAGATTCGCACCAACAATGCTAGAACTATTGTACAAATGTAAAACGTAGGAAAAGTTGCATATCCATTTAGACTTGTAAAATTTGCAATTAACACCTAATATCTAATAGCATCGGGACAACCCACACAAAATATAAGACCTGCAAAGAATTTTTTTTTTTTTTTTTTGTAAAAATATAGATTTCCTATTTTAAACGTCAAAAAAAAGTAAATAAAAAACTATTAACATAAAATAAAGCAATACTTGCTTATAAGAGGTTAGATTTTATTTTTCTCTTATTAAAAAAAGAAGACATTAATTACATATATTCACACAATTATTATATATAAAGAGTGATCTGCGATGTTTTGACGAATTTAATAATTTTTGATCTACTAAATATTTTGGGTTACTTTATTATTATTAGTACTTAATTTTTTTGAGTCACTAAGTAATTCACGATTATAGAATTACCATGAATACCATTATTTTTCTCTTGTTAAAAATAAACAAAATCAAATTTTTTTTAAAATAATAGAAAACACGATTAAGTCTTACCCTATGATTTAAGGCCATAACTAGCATAATAAAATGAGCCACTAAACATAAAAATCTAGCTGGAATCAGGCCATCCGCACAGAATGTTGACATAGTGAAACAAAAATTTTTTAGTTTTAAATTTATTTTGTTTTGATATTATTAGTGATGAATGACTCGTTAACAGCTAAAATCAAATCATAAAGATAATCTAATTATTTGAAAATACTAGTTAAATATATGTATTATGAGTTATTAAAAGTTCAAGCTTTTTAAAAAATAGCAAAAATAAGCTTATTCAGTAGTTTTAAAAATTAAAAAAAAAAAAAAAATGCACGAAAAAGCATTAACTATGTAGTGTAATATATAGGTGTTCAGTAAGTAAGGAAACGGGTTTCTATTGTTCTCATTGTTTATAACAATTGACTTGTTTCCTTACTTACTAAATACTCTGTATAATTAAGTGTTTTTTAAATAATATTATATTAAATTATGTTCAACATTCTCAACTCTGTAATAAAAAAAAACAATTTTTTTTATATTTATCGGCCAAAATCATTGGACATTGTATTCGGACATTTAATGTATGAGCTATTATAATTTTAGCAATAAAGAATAATCCAAAACCAACCAGATATGTTTTTAGTAATAAGTATGGTTATCTACCATATAGATATGGAAACCTATTTTAAACATACTGGACACTAAGGGCCATATTTATAGTTGATTCTTATGAATGAATTTTACTTAAACTATTCTTAAGCATGCTATCTAGATAGCTTTAGCACAGTTTATTCATAAGACTTAACTATAAATATGGTTCTAAATATCCAACTATAAATATTTTGGTAAGAATAGTTAAAAATTCCTTATCGCTAAATAATAATCCATAATAGTAACGTTTTCGTCGTATTAAGTTATGAAAAATTGACGGTCAAGGCCAATATCTAGAAGAAAGAGTTCCAAGTATTTTATTTGCACATCAAAGTATGTGTCAAGAAAATGTCTGAAAAATTAGTAATTAACGACTCCAATAGGTTTTGCCACAATGAGACGTAAGTGATTGAAAAAATATTAAAAAAAATGACTAAAGAACTGGTTGGTACTAGAGAGATGTACGATATTATATTCAAGTTCATATGAACTGTATCCTTATACCATCGATTTTTAATAAAACATTTAGTTATAAGTAATTTAATTATTAGTAATAAGCTTTTGAAAAATGTAAATTTTTTTTCAAACACTTATATTTTTTATCGTCTTATCACAAATAGTCAATGTATAAATGTAAGAAATTTTATTTGGTTTAATTTGATGTATTAATCATCTCCCTGCAAGTTTTTTAAAATCTGTACTTCTTTCGAGGAATTTTTTCTAATATTTTTAGAAAAAGATTCTCGCCTGGTAATTATTTAATTTGGATAGCTGTTACTTGAACTAAATTGAATTAATGTAACTTTGTAATAGATATTACAATTAAGCATTTTTTTTTTAATACATAAAAAAACCATATTACAAGATAAAATAATTAAATAACTTTTAGAGTTATTCAATATTAATATACTAAATATAGTAAATAAGTATTAGTTTCAATATTACGGAACAAAAATGAACCAATACAATAACACAAATATTAAAATGCAATATAAAGTTAAAATAAATTAATCAAAATAGACCAATATTGTATTAAAATCTGAGTTCGCAGTTTTAAACATTTAATTTTAGAAGCTATTATTTTTATCTTGTTTAAAACAAGTAATATTAAAAATAATGCGATTAAAACAATGTGTTTAAATAAATGTTTTAATGTTATATTTTTAAATAATGATTAAAACATAAAAAAATATTATACCTTTTTTTTATCATAGTTTAAATTATCTTTTTTAATTTTTATAACCCAATAAATTATATCTGATTTAAGATATCATTAAAAATCAGTTAGGGATGTTAAATAAAAACTACGATTCGGAATTTGAAAACTTTAAAAATAACTTCTAAAAATTATGAAACGTTTACAAAAGCTAACAAAAAAAACTTTAAGATGAATTAAAAATATTTTTTTTTGATTTTAATGAATTTTTGATAAAACATCATAATTTTTAATTACAAAATATTATATATTTTTTAATTACAGTGCAAATTCGATTAACACTCGTTTATTCTCCATCAAAATCAGATTTTAGTTGAGGATTTCTTTTAGAAAATAATAGAAGTTCTTGTAATTAAAGACGTTGTTGCGTTTAATTTTACGAGGTTGAACTCATAAATTATAAATAAGTCATTAACTAACCGTTTAATGAATTATAAAATACTTACATCCTAGGTTGTCAGAAACATTAATTTAATTAGTATAATAATTTTATAAAGACCATATCAGGTACGTACTGACTATATTACATAGTTAGTACATATTTCAAATGCAAAAATAATAATCGTCAATTTCGCTTACTAAAACAAATATTACATAATTGACGTAAGATATGTAATGATGAAGAATGACTAAACACTTGGTCAGAATTCAGTAAATTTGACTTTAGTTTAGACACGTACTTAAGGTAGAATTGATTTATGTATAAAAATATTTTTTTATATAAGAGAAAAATAAATTCAACTACTAAAATAATAATCTTTCACTTTTAGACCTGAAAGTAGGTATGCCGCGACTACTAGATTTACCTCTTGATAAGACTATTTATAGCTATACTATGATTAAAATTTGACCAAATTTATTAAATTAAGTAAATTATAAGTTAGTAATAAAATAATTAATAGGTGAAAATTGGGAAGTAAATTTAAACATATATCGTCGTATATACTGCAATAGAGCGTATCTTAGTTTTTCTAGGTTTTCAGGGTGATCAAAAAACCAATTTGAATTAAATATGTTTTAATATGAGATAATTTAATTTTCATAACTATCAATATAACGACAAGTTTTGCAAAAAAAAATGTTCAAAAAAACTTATTTTATCATAATTGGAAAAAAAAATTAATTTTGTCAAATTTTATATTACGTTCTATTGCAGTATAAGCAACGATAATTTGGTAGCCAGAATAATCTAATCAAAGACGTTGATCCAGGAAGGAAATTACTTCTCTATTACTTGACGGATCTCGCAAAAAATAATTTTTATTTAAAAATATTTACAAGAGAAAAGAAAAAAATAACTTTGTCTCTTTAATAATTTTTTTTTTACCCTACACCAGTGAATTAAATTTTTTCAAAAAAAAAAATTAACATTTTATTTGGAAAAATTGTACAATTGCATAATTGAAAAAATAGGAAAATTTACCAAATAAAATATAATAAAAATTGATCACTTGTGGTTAATATTGTTTAAAATGTTGAAAAATATACTAATTGCTATTTTTGGTAGTTCTAGTAACCTTTAGTAATATAACAATTATATTATTGTTGAGTGTTATACTTCAACTATACTTTCTGTATGGAATAATTTTTTTAATACTTATTAAAGGTAAAACATCTTTGCCAAGAACTGATAATGCTTCGACATTTGACAAAGAAGTAATTGTTCTAAACATCTGGTATTCCGACCATTTGATAACATAGGTTACCATAACCACGACGGATATTACTTCGATATTAAATAAAATATAAAACGTGGTAAAAACTCCGGCATTATCGATGGTTAAAATTTTTTTTTATATATTAATACATATGTTTATTTGAATATCTACTATCTATATAGTGAGATATAATAAGAAAATAGTCAAATGTAATACTTTTTTTTTAAACAGTATTTTCGTGTTGCTATTGTTCCAAGATTATCCTTTTTTAAATAACTTTTAGCTTTAGAAAGATCTAATCGATCTCGATTAAGAGACAGTATCGACCTAGAACCTAGAAGTTTCGGAGGAAATTTTTTTTAATGACCACTAAGACGATTTTCTTAGTAGCCTAGCAAGAAAAAAATAATTCAAATTTAATGCAGGCCCCTTGAGCCAGCATTAAATTGTCACTGCGATATAATTATTATGCCATTATTTTCATGTCGTTAGCTTAACGTATCATGCAAATACAAATGTGGTATTTTATAAATTCAATATAAACTGTTTTAAAAAAGTTGAATACTGTTGTAATAAGCATATTCTTAAAAAACAAAAATTAATTTTCAAAATAAAATCACGTATGCTATGTTTTTTTCATATTTATTCATAATATTGTTTATTTTTCGTATAAACAGTCTATTACCTATGAATTCAATAGGAATCATACACATTTTCCATATATCAACGATATTTTACAATTCATTATGTATAATTAATATAGAAATTATTATATATTAGGTCACTATTACTCCCTATTTAAATTCTCAAATCGTTTTTCAAATAAATACAAATATATTAAATTTATTATAAAATGAAAATTGATATTGTCAAGAATTAGTTCTTTAATAAGTTATAGTTGTAAAATGTATTTACACAAAAGGAAAAATGTTTTAGTTTATTATATGTATAATACTGTAATGCACTATGTCTTGTGAAATTGTAATATTTGTTTTTTTTATATAAATGTATATCTTATAATAAAAGTACTGTTTAAATACTAAATTATTTTATTTGATTTCTATTTAACGAGAAAAAATGAATATTTGTTTAATTACCAATTATGATTATTAATAAAAATATTTAACTCTATATATACAACTGACAAAACTTCCCGCAATCCTCATACAAATGAAAAAATATCTCAATCATTTTTTACTGAATCGATATTTAACTCGAGTTAGTTATGTTTAAATTTAATTACTTTAAAAGATAAGTTAAGTAAGTTAATGTATAATCATAAACTATTGTTAACTGTTAATTTATAACTATCTTATGCTCACTTAAATTGACTTGAGTGTATTCATATTGCAACAAAATATTTGGAAGCTCTACTTACATCATATTTTACCTTCTTTAAAAAATATTTCTTTACAACAAGAAATACAAATTATTTTATCTTCAACATTTTATGGCAGAATTTTAGGAGGCTAACTTCCCTCAAGTCTTTTCATTTTGCAACCAATCATAAGATCAAAATTTAGATTGAATTCAATTAATATCGTTGTTTTATCTACCTTTTCACAGTGAAATGATACTAAGTAAAATATTTTTGTTAGGTTTTATACAAGACTAATTAGAATGATTGTATTAGAGAATGGGATACCGATTATCTTTATAAAATATCTGTTTAATGCCGAATCATCAGTGACACGTACCCCCCATACATTTTTTACCAATTAATGAATAAGAACGCGATAACTAATAAAATGTTAGAGGTTATAATAATATGCGTTAATACAGAGAGGCAAAAAAGACTTAAATTCCGAAAATTAAAATAGCTCTTCTTTCTTCTCATAAAAAAAAAAAAAAAACTTTTTAAGGACTCACACCAATTATATAAATGGGGTTGATTTAGTTTAAAGCCCTTATACTCACCCTAAAATATCTATTATTTCTTATGTTGGGTACACTTTGGTAACATTTATTGTAATAATTATTTGATAATTGACAGTATAGAATTACAACACTATTTTATGTTAATTATTTATATAGTCCAATATTCACCTACTACGAAATTTGATAATTTCATTAATCGATTTCGCGAATTATCGGTATTTGAGTAAATTTTGTTTGAAGAAATTAATTAATTGTCTCATTTTTTGTAATTATTGTCGTAGTAAAATCCAAATTTTGGTAACCAGGTATTCGTAGTAATTATTTTCGGAATACATGTGTTCGGAGGATTTTTTTTTACAATGTCAGAGCATTATTAGTTTGTGACAAACTCCGTAACCCCATACTAAATATAATTTTTTGATTTGTAGGTTAGCAGTTAAGTAAATATTGTATTAAATATTAATCCTAGCACATTTTTATTTATGGCGACACTGTTTGGCAAATTAATGATAAAACTAGCTTAATTAAGAAATATATGGTAATGTTATCAACTTAAATAAACGAACGTACTGTTTTTGAACAATTTATAATGAATTAAATACATACAGAGTACTACATTTTTTCTTATAAGTTAAATACAATACTAATGTGCTTTGTGTTTTTTAATGAATTTGATGTAGTTATATTAATTAATTATTCTTATATTTAATGATGCACTTTTCCCCCTGAAAAGTTTTTATAGGAAAATTGCGCTATATAATATTAGGGAAATTAAATCAGTTTTTTTTTCATACAAGATTTTATTGTTGATATATATATAATTGATGTAACACTAAAAATAAATAAATATTATCTATTTTTAAAATATATCTACAATATGTTTAATTTAAAATGTTTATTTTGAATTAAGAAAAAAAGATAATTTAGATTTGAATATTATCATGACAATTCTACTATCAACAATAGGTTAAAATATTTTAAAAATTATACTCATCAAAGTATTGAGATTGTAAGTAATCAAGGCTTAGTTCCCCAGAATTGTGTTAAAAGAAAATAACATCAATTATGTGTGTTTTTACACTCTACATTTTATTATAAGTAAATACATAATATTCTAAAAACATTAAAAATTTCTTTCCTACTTAATACAATTTTTAATTAATTATCTACTTATTGTCAATGAACAACTAATAAGTAATAAATTAAAGGTAAAAAGGACTTGGAAGTTATTAACTCATTTTATATTATATTTAAATATATGCCCAATTTTAAATTGAATAATACAATACAAGCACAATTAGTAACATCATTTGGTCCAAGGACATGAGTGGCATAGAAACCATTATACTGGTTATATTTTATTATGCTTTTTAAAATCTATTATTAGACTAATTATTGGTAGTATATTATTAGTTGTCTAAATAATTGATTTAATATTTGATAGAAATTTATTAATAACACAATATTATATATTAACATTAATTAATTGGAAAAGTATTATTGTTTACCTATTTGGTGTTACAAATTAATTTAAAAATAGTAATAACTAGGAAAGTACTGAAGAGTAGTTGTTGTCTGTTCATAAATAACTATAGGACTTAATACACATTTATCACTTGAATTATGTAATTTATATAAAAAAATCAAAATAATTTGTATCAAAAAATTAGTATAATATGATAGTGAAAAATACATTGAATAAAGTAATTATCATGCAAAAAAAAATATAAACTAATTTAAATTTATTTCGAAGTAATCAACATAATTAAAAATTTACTTTCAAAAAAAATTAATTAATTTTCATGGAACCAAAACAATTAAAAAAAAATTAACTACGCCTATGAACAATTAATGTGCAATAAAAACATTTAGGTGTTTAAGTAAAAACAATTATTATTCAATTAATTACCAAATAAATTATTTGGAGTGTAAAATGTCAATATATTAGACAATTATTAAATTCAATATCGAAATTCTTATTTATTATAACATTAGAAATTAATAGAGATTGTATTTTTTATGTATCTTATGTACTTAAAATTTAATAAAATTGAAAAAGACAAGTATGAGCAATATTAAAACGTTATTTACCAATTAAATATTGCCAATCTTCCAGTTTTTCAGTCGCCATAGTAACTAAGTAATCAAGTAACAACAAATAACAAACAAATAAATACTCGGATAATCAATCAAAACTTATGATACATTGAACAAAATAAACTAAATATTTTGATATTAAATAACAACAAAAAAATCAAAAACTTAACTATACAACATATCTGAATGCGCCATAAGAGCAGAAAAATATTATAAGATGAAATACGAAATGACTAAATTCAACTAAATTAAAGCAATGAGTTCAATATACAGTTAGGTAAGCTCAAATTCTATTGATATAATTCTATTGATAACATATATCTAATCTATTTGTAGTGATAATAGTGATTAAGTTTTTTTGTTTTACTTATACCGCTTCGTTGTGGTGTTAGTACGAACTAATACAAATATATTTTAGGTTAAAAGTAAAATATTTATGTTATTAATATTATAATATTAAAAATCATATTCGTATATTTTATTTTTTACGAAATATTCAGTAAATACTTTTAATTATAATTTATTAAAGTTCTATTCTATATTATAATTGCGAGACAACAATACTAAGATTATTGTTTTAAATGTGTTAGTTATTTTTCTGATACAACATGAATCAATTATAATTGTTTTCGCTATTTGTTCTACGTACCGCCGAGTTACACATAGTGTAAACGTCTTGCTATGCATAACTTATCCTACTGTTTCAATTTTTTAGTGTTAAGTATAATCTAACAAGTTTGTAACATACCCTTTCTCTTTTTTTGCGAATTATTACTAGTTTTGGCCATGAACGTCACGCATTCAGTAGGTAAGATGCACCATTATTTATCTCGTATTAACGAGTAGATTTTTTGCTATCATAAGTGAATGGGTGTTAATGGTAAAAATCGTGAATCATTAAATTATTTGGTAATTTATGTCTATTTCAGTTTTGGTTCAAAATGGTCTTCCAGAAGACAAATCAAGAAAACTTCAAATGCAGTTAATGATGGAAAAACTGCGTAGCAAAGCATTACAATCTCAATACAAACCACTGACTGATTCAATAAAAAATATTAAATTAGCATTACTAGTAAGTTATTAAAAATTATCAATTTGTTACAAAGAAAAATTATATTTTTAATATCTTTAATAATGTTAAAATTTGAATTAAATAAATTAACTTTTTAAAATTATTTTTCTTATACCATAAAACTAAATAAATAGTTTTAATTAGTTTAATTTATATAATTTTAATTATATTTTGATTATATATTTTATGTATCATTGACTTTGTTCATATATATTATATGAATGTAAAAATAGCAAGTAGTTAATATTTGTAATATTGAAGCATAATATTTAGGTCTTAACTATGTAGTTTACATGTTCTTGAAATTTTTATTGGTTGCTTTGAAAACAAATTTAAATAATTTATTTTATTTAATTCTTGAGTAATTGTTTATTTTAATTAATCATTTTGTAGGAAAAAAGAATCAACGTAGATCCTGCTGAAAAAAGTCTTGTTCAAAAATCACTTGATTTATTACAACAAAATATTAAAGTTACTACATTACAAACAATGGTTGAACGTTTAGATAGTGTCAGCAGACATCTTGGGTAAACTTAAGATAAATTGTTAAAATAATTGAATAGTTAGATTATTTTCATTTATTAAAGTTCAAAAAGAGTTTTTCAAAAACAAAAATGACTACATTTAGGGAGTAAAACTTTTTTATTTTTTTTTTATTATTACAAAATTTTTTATTACATTTTGGGTCATTCCATGTGAAATCACCTAACGTGTGTGCTGGTATAGTTCAGAAATTTATATCATAGACTTCTTAAAGGTCATTGATAACAAAAATAATATTTTTTTTTATTATTATTTTTTTACCAGATAGCGCATTTTTTATAATTAAAAACATGAAAAAACAGCCTATGTTCTAGAGTCTATAACTTCACATCCAAATAAGCTATCATTGTGGAACTAGCACTGTTTTACTCATATTAAATAGTACTTCAATTTCATTCTTAAGTTTATGAATTTTGAATTTTTTTGAACATCGAAATTTTGATTTAAATTTTTAAAATTTTGCAATATTTTAATAGCAAAATTTAAAGGTCAAAAAATTTTTTAATTAAAATTTTTTTTTTCTTTTTAGAAACTTTTAATTATGTTCTTTTAACCCATATCATATTTGAATCGGTTTATAATTTTTTTTGTATCGTTTTACGGTCTTGAACACGCGTGGTTTGCTGAAAATAGCCAACTTTATCATCTCATTACACAAAAGTGACTGAACGAATTTTTTTCAAATTTACATAGCACTTACCTTTAGGCAATTAAAACGTCTGGTGAAAATTTCATGATTGAGAAATAATTTTAACGCCACTTATAGAACTTACAAAATTTACAATTTGCGTACTATGGAAAATCCACAAACTACGTAATTTTCAACATTTAATTTTAATTGTTTGCATTTATTCTGCACGAAAATAAAATACTACATACCATTGTAGGCAACTATTTTTTAAATTATTGTTCTTGTTTAGTACTAAGGAAAGTATAATGTCGATGGGTTGTCTTTATTATACATAGGGTATTAATTTTATCATATTACTTATAGTGACTTTTGTATCAATTTCTTCATGTAATATGACAATGTTAAATAGCATTTAAAACTGGTTATCTATTTTTATTAAATATAACAGGATTGTCCATTTAAAATGACTATTGTGTGTCACCAAGCAGTCAAGTCAATGTGTAACTTTTATTGTTGTGACTAGTAAATTGTGTGTTAATAAAATCGATTTTAATTATTGTTTTTGATTATAATTAGTTTAAATTTATTATTATGGAATGCTCAGTCGGTATAGCAGTGAACGAAGAGTGTCACAAATCGGTTTGCGGTGTTAATAATCAATTATTATTAAATATTTTTGATTTTTCTAATGAAAACCAACAACTCCTTGCTTATAGAATAAACTGTTCTTTAACTATTTGTGAGTATCACAGTAAAAAATATTTAGATTATTTTTATTTTGTGTTTGGTAGAAAATGTTCTGATTCATTTAATATACATAAAATAACTGTTCGCAAAGGTCTGATTGAAATAAAACTACAAACCGTTTTTGAATATTCAAATTTGGAATTAATACCTGGAATGGCCTTATGTAAAACATGTTTAAAACGTTTGAAAGATTCTGCTGATTACTTGAATATGAGTGTTGAGCATGAAGAACCCGTGTAGGAGTCTATTGAAAATAATTTAGAAACAATAAATAACGCTTGTAACAATTTAGGTATATCACCTATTTTATTAAAAAACTTAAGTAAAACTCGCCGACCAGTTATATTGAAAAAAAAGCTGAAGCTATAAGTACTGTAGTAAAAAAAAAACTTTTCTCGGCTTATGAAATTCCTTCATCTTCTTCTAATAGCACACATTTTATTCCTAACGGTAATTATGTCGTTATNTAATAGCACACATTTTATTTCTAACGGTAATTATGTCGTTAAAGAGTATGAAAGTTTAATAAATAACTTAAAAATAAAATTTAATGAAACCAATGAAACTAGCCAACACATAAGAATTTTAAGTCTGTTGCCTAAATCTTGGTCGGTTTCAAAAATTTGTGAAGAGTTTGGTGCCACAGAATACTTTGTGAAAAAGGTAAAAAAATTAGTCGATGTTCATGGTGTTTTACCTGACATTGTCGTTCAAAAACCTGGTCGAGTAATTCATTCAAATGTAGTAAAAAATGTTGATGACTTTTATCATAATGACGATTATAGCAGGGTATGTCCCGGCATGAAAGACGTCATTAATGTAAAAGATGCCGATGGTAAAAAAATTACTAAACAAAAAAGATTGATTTTGTGTAACTTAAAAGAATTATATATAAATTACAAAACAGAAAATCCTAATGATAAAATTGGTTTTTTAAATTTGCTGAATTAAAACCTAAATGGTGTATTTTAGCTGGAGCAAGTGGTACACATTCCGTATCCGTGTGCGTGATCCATCAAAATATAAAACTTATGGTTGAAGGGGCTAAATTAAATTTAGTCTTAGTCGATTTAATAAAAAGTATTGTCTGTGATATTAATAACGAAATATGTATGCTTAATGATTGTAATCANAATAACGAAATATGTATGCTCAATGATTGTAATCGATGCCCTGGACCTGAAAATCTCAAACGTCAAATGCTTAATTTAGATACTACCACGATAACTGATCAAATAGTATATAGTCAGTGGGTGCACACAGATCGTACAACACTTGTCAAAATTATTCAAAATAGAGCAGAATTTTTGGAAAAATTAGTTGAGCAGCTACCTATTGTTAAAAAACACCATTTCATTTCAAAAGCTCAGTGTACGTACTTATGTGAAAAGAAAAACTCTCTTGCTGTAAATGAGTGTATTGTGTTAGGCGACTTTGCTGAGAATTTCACGTTCGTGATCCAGGATGAAATTCAAAGCTACCACTGGGTAAATTCTCAAGCAACTTTACATCCTTATACAATTTATTATAAATCTAATGCAATTGATTCTTTACAAACAAAAAATTATTGTATTATTAGTGATCATTTGACACATAATACAGATGCGGTTTATGTTTATCAATCTCACTTAATTAAAAAAATAAAAGATTTCATGCCAAATATAAAAAAAATTCACTACTTTTCTGACGGAGCTAGCAGCCAATATAAAAATTATAAAAATATGGCCAATCTATGTTATTACACAGCAGATTTTGGCTTAGAAGCAGAATGGAATTTTTGTGCGACCANAAAATTTTGTAAATTATAAGATCAAAATAATTAGGTATAATATAAACAAAAATAAAACTTATATGTATGTATAAATAGAATTAAATTATATTTTAGAATAAATTAAATTGAAATATATAATAAAAATTATTCTCTATTACACTCAAAAATATAAGTGGCGTTAAAATTATTTCTCAATCATGAAATTTTCACCAGACGTTTTAATTGCCTAAAGGTAAGTGCTATGTAAATTTGAAAAAAATTCGTTCAGTCACTTTTGTGTAATGAGATGATAAAGTTGGCTATTTTCAGCAAACCACGCGTGTTCAAGACCGTAAAACGATACAAAAAAAATTATAAACCGATTCAAATATGATATGGGTTAAAAGAACATAATTAAAAGTTTCTAAAAAGAAAAAAAAAATTTTAATTAAAAAATTTTTTGACCTTTAAATTTTGCTATTAAAATATTGCAAAATTTTAAAAATTTAAATCAAAATTTCGATGTTCAAAAAAATTCAAAATTCATAAACTTAAGAATGAAATTGAAGTACTATTTAATATGAGTAAAACAGTGCTAGTTCCACAATGATAGCTTATTTGGATGTGAAGTTATAGACTCTAGAACATAGGCTGTTTTTTCATGTTTTTAATTATAAAAAATGCGCTATCTGGTAAAAAAATAATAATAAAAAAAAATATTATTTTTGTTATCAATGACCTTTAAGAAGTCTATGATATAAATTTCTGAACTATACCAGCACACACGTTAGGTGATTTCACATGGAATGACCCTTTTATAATAATTAAATTTTGAATGATCATTAAAATCTTAAGTTCCTATGTGTAATTTCCTATCTTAATGAATACTCTAATCAAAAATATTTTAAAAGATTTATTCTCCTATATGTAAATTCTGTTATCTATATTACTGTTTTCTTATAGTTTTTATTTGTTTATTAACTAACTAAATTATTTTGCAATAATTGATCCAATTTAAATATTTTATGCAATATTAAATGTATTTTTATTATATAGTTTAAAATTCACAGTTGGACCTTCTGGAAAGGATATTTTTGTGTCTTCTGATATGTTTTATTTGGAAATTATATTAGAAGACAATGGTGGAGTTAAAGATGTTAAAATTCATCATGATGGAAAATCAGAACCTCAGGTAAAAAAAAATTGAAATGTTTTAACTCATGCTACTCTATAATTATTAAACAAATATTAAATAAAATTTGTTTTGTCTAAATTTTGTTACATAAAAAATGAAAATAATTTTTTTCCTTCAAATTTTTATATATATATTTGATATTTATATTTTTGTTTTAGAGTTGTGCAGATTTAATTAAAAGTTTGGCCAACTGTGACTTTGCAGATTTCACTTCACAACTTGAAGGACTTGCGTCCATTTATCAGTTAAATGCAGATAAGATAACAAAATGTCGCGCTTTTAATGCTTTACAGACATTAGAGACAGATCTTGAAACATTTGCTCAAGTACATTATACATACCACAAAGATTTAATATCCTTGGTTCATAAAACTTCGTTGGGAGTTGTTAAACCAAGAAGAGGAGGTAAAATAGAAATAATATGTTTTTTTTATGTATGATTTGTATTATTCACATGTTTTTTTCAGGCCATCCAATGAAAATAATTTATTTTGTTTCACCTTATGATTTATTGGATTTGGAAAACAATTCAATGAAAAATTTAGATAAAGATACTTTAGATGTTGGTTACTATGCCACAGTTTGTATTGAAGCTGCTAATAGTAATAATGTTCAGTCGGCTTCACTTCTTGGTGCAACAAGAAGTTCAGCAGGATTAAGGTAATATTAACGTAATTTATAAAATAAAAATATAGTAGATACTTCATATGTCAAATATTTTGTTATCTTGAACTGTGTTGAAATCCCTTAAAATTTATAATTAATATTTTTAAAATTTTAAGAAAACTTAGGGTCTCAAACTTCTTTTTGTTCAAATTGAGATTTAACATAACACAAGTCTAATGTAATTAGAATACTATTTTTAATTATTAATATATATTAATGGCAGTTCTTTCCCTTTTAAGAAACCTTCTTATATTTCTTTCATTCTAATTTTTTTAAATTAATTTATTTAAAAAAATATAATATCAGTAAATTTATCTATGGTATTAGTGTTTATTATCGTTAAACAGGGGTAGGAAATTAGTTTGTATGACAGGAGGCCATCTGGCCTCCTGCCATACAAACTAATTTCCTAGTTGCTGTATATTTTGATCACACAAGTGTTGCGTATTTTATTACTTAAATGTGCTGTTTATGTCACTAATGCACTTTGATTATGTTTAAGGGATGTTTATTCCCTCTGAAAATTAAAAAATATAATAACCGTATAAGGAATAATACCATATAAATAAAATTTACATGGTACTATTCCTATAATAAAGTTGCTTTAATTTGACCCTTTAATGTGGCTTAAATAAAATGTATAAATGCATATTAATCTGTTCCTTAATTATAATATATAAATTACAAAACTAGGTTATGAATTGAAATGTTACGTTTGATCATAGATTAAACATGATTATTACAGAGTATAGCTTAATATTCTAATTCTTCATTGTTTGCGTTCACTATATAGATCTTTATTATAATTTGATGCTTTAATTTATTATCTTTTAGTACACCAACATTTATGCCATTCACTGTGCAAAATAGTATAACTCTACCTGCTGTATTTGTTTTACGATTGAATGAACCAATGCCAATATGTCTACAATTAGCTGAAAGTATAAAATCTGAGATTCAAATGGATTTAGAAATGTCAGTACCTCGTTCATTACTTAAAATGATAATTGAACCTAGCTCTCAACCTTTAAGTGTGGTAAGATGAATTAATTTTTTATAATATTAGTCTGTTGTATTTTGAGTTTTATTTTAATCAAATAAAATGTTCAGTCTTTACCAGATCAGCAACACTGCTATTTTTTGACTGATTCCAATTTGAAAGGAGTGTTAATTCAAAATATAAAATTTACTCACCCATCTCAAGTCACAAAAGTTATAGCTTATCTTCGACAACAGGCATTATTTAACTGCTTAATCAAGTCTTGTGTACGACCTGAATGTCAACAAGGTTTGATGTTAACATTAAAGTTAAAAATTAAATTAATTTCAGTTTTTATTTTCTAGAAATACTGAATACTATGGTTTTTGAAATTGCTGCTTATGAAGAAATGTCATGGCAACATTTAGTTGTTTCCTTTGAACATCCCATTGAAGAAAGTTTGGCTACAGCTGAATTTAATTTATCAGATATTTCTAATCTTAAGTGTCAAGTTTATACTTCATCAACAGAAACTCATGGGGAATCTGTACTGAGTTCTCCTGAATTCGCTAGCAAAGTATTACAAAGGTATATCCTCTCCTTCCTTTCTTAAAAAAAAAACAATTAAATTAAATCTTAATGTACGTTTTATTGTTTCCAGAAGTTTTTCTATTCCAATCACAATGCGAAGTTTAATACAAACTTGGGAAAGAGAAAATCAACAGTCACTTGATAATGATATGAAAAATAACTTTTCAGGAACAGGAGGGTCAACAAATTTAGGAGATGGTCCTGATATAAATCAACATTTTGCTGATCCTTCAAATGGTCCTGATTTTTCTTCAGATCTTGATGTTAAACTAGAACCCTTAGATGGAGCTGGTGCCTTAGATTGCTTCCCTGCATCTATTATTCAAAGAGATTTAGATCAATTTATTTCAGAACCCAATTTTTTAGCAGATATGGATTTTAATCAATTTCCAATGGATGTTGATCAAGAAGAACAAAAGAAGCAGTCTTCTTTTAGGGACGCCAGCCTTCAAGAAGATCCTCCTGATCAAAATTCGAAACCATCTCCTACAAAAACTGAAGAACTGATTAGCATACTTGACGATGATGACAATGGTAAAGTCGAAGATGAGAAACCACCCCTAGATACAGGTCAAGTGATTATTGAGTCTTCTAGTGAAGATTCAATAGAAAAAAGCAGTTCATCAATATCAGGAGAGTTTGATAATATCCCTGATGACATTGATCAATCTAATCAATTAGTATTTGATGTAGATGATGATGGCAGAGATCTTAATGATCTAAATGATGTAAAAGAATTTATTAAAAATCAGCTAAAAAGTGATGATAAAAAAGATGTACAATTAGATAAAATTCATCAGTCTCCTTCAGTTAGTATAACGGCAGTTGATTTAAGTTCAATTCCATCTCCACAAATTTTACCACAGGTAACTGTTGATAGAAGACCTAATATTGAAGTCATACCAATACCTAATGTACCAAGTTCTATAACAATAACTCCAATATCTGCAAAAACAATAGCCGAAGAAAAATTAAAAAAAAGTAAAAAAGATATTGAAGGAAAAGCAGAAAAAAAAAGGAAAAGAAAATTAGAATCTGAAACAAATGTACCTGAAAAAGTAAAAAAACATTCTGGATCACTTAAAATGTCAGATTCTAGTAGATCATCATCACCATGTGATTATGTTTCAAACCAACTTCCTTCAAATACTATGATGATGAAATTAGCATCTAATCAAAAAATAAAACAAAGTACATCACCTACTTTATCTATTAGTAGTGTATCACTGGCCAATACTAAGTATCCAGTTACATCACCAAAATCCAATTCAGGTAAACCTAGTTTATCTGCATTGAAATTGTCGGTTCATAGTCCTAAGAGTGAGTCAAAACAGAAAAACAAAGAATTTTCAAAAGATAAAGAAAAAAGAAATTATGCTTCAAGTAATTCTTCTTTAAGCCAAAGTCCAAAAAGTATAAAATCTTCAAGTTCTAAAAAAAGTGATGTTGAAGATCCTGGAACTACTGTATCTACTGAATCTCCTAATAAATCTCAAGCAAAATGTAGAAAACTTAATGCTGTGATTGATAGATTATCAAAGGATAAAACTACATTAAATTATTCTATTGATTCTGATTTACCCAAGTCTAAAGATTTTTCCATAAAAGCTTCTGATAAATCATTATCTTTAAATTCTAGTTCTAATTTGAAGAATCCTGAATCGTATCAAGTTAAGCATAGTTCAGATGGAATGAAAATAACTATTAATAAAACTAGAATGAAAGAATCAAAGCAAAAAAGCTCTTTGAGTAGCTCTCCAAAATCTGGTCAAAAATCTAGTAGTTCTAGCAGTACTAATAGTAAAAAAACGGGCTACACACTTTCTAAATTAACCTCAAGCACTTCACAAACAAAGCAATCATTCAGCTTGCCAAAGACTAAGTCAAATTTAACTGTCACAAAAATAAAGTCTAGTTCTAGTAAAGTTCGTAGTGATAAATCTATCTTTGCAAGAGCTGATATGAGAAAATCTAGCCCGACAGCCAAAGATGAAGAACCTTTAAAAGTTATAAATCCAGTTGATAGTTTCATAAAACAATTGGACACTAGTAAATTTCAAATACCAAAACTATCAGCTAGAACTAATACCGATGATAAAAAATATAATGATTCTTCTAAAGTTGATTCCAAACCTATAGACTTAGCTAAAAAAATTGATACTGAAAAGAAACATTCTCAAAGTGATTACATTAACCAGAAGAAAAGCACGACAGAAAGGTTGAATTCTCTTCCAGGTATTACTATTACTACTGTTGAAGAGCGAATTGGTAAATCTAAAGAATCAATTTTAAATAGCTTAAAAATTGATATGCCATTAATATCTTTACATGCACCTAAAGCAGACACAACTCTTGAATTATCAGAGTGTAAAGATTATTCACAGAAAAAAGAAGATTCAACTAGCTCCATCTCTTACCAGCAAAAGCCTATTGTCCCTGTTACAAACTATTCAACTACACCTTCAGTATCAGTACATATTCTTAAATCTCCAGTACCTTCACCGTTATTAGTGTCTTCTCCACATTCTGCCTCACCTTCGATAACTGATGAAGAATTGATAGATGATTCATTTGTACGTGTTGGTAAATGATTTTTGTATGTACAAGAGCCCTTTGGCTTTTGGTAACCATTTGACAACTGAATTCCATTTATATGTTATTATATGTATATAGTATTTATTAGTTTTTTTTTTCATTTTATAGCAGAATTATTTGTGCATTATAATTGTAAATTATATATTTTATTCTATATTGTATATATTTAATTAAAAGATAATCTGTGTAAACATCTAACTTGTCTCAATATAAATTATTTTTGGACCTTATATATATATATATCAATATTAAAAGTATAATAATATTAAATGTTCTGATATCTAAAGATGAGGCCCAGATCAATATTTAAAAATGAAACTACAGTAATAATAAATATAAAATCTACATAATCTATGATCCATAGTTGCTGGTAATCAGTGGTGTTTGGGAGGAAGGATGTAAAGATTATACTCACTAATAACTTTTTTAATTATCTTATACCCTAGAAAAATAACTTTAGTACTATTTATATTAAAGGGTATACACTCACAAATCAGTGTAAACCCTAAATTAAGTATGCTTTTTTGTGAAAGCACTACTGTTAGTTATAATGTATAACATTTAGATATAGTTGACAAAAAAACTAGGGTATAGATTTAAAAAAGTTAATTTTCATGTATTAGGTTTTAAAATAATAACAATTTTTTAGCTTTGATAATGAATGTTATTTTTAATTTTTAGTATACTTTAAAGTAAGTATTTATTTACTAAGTTTTCCCATTTGAATGAGAACTTGTTAACAATCAAAGCATTTTTTCAGAAAAGACAAATTTTATAATAAATTAAAATAAACTCTCAAAATTTTCTTCTCAGAAATATTTTTTCTATCGAAATAAATAAGGGTATTATACCAATTGAAAATAAAGAAAGAAGTCGTTTTTTTTTTGTACTTTCATAGGTATAAATTATATTTACTCCAATGACCCATTTACGAGCGGAGGCCATTTTAGGATCGGATCAAGGTTTCTGCCTCGTCGGCAAACTTATAAATCCCATTCTAAACCAAAACCATTAGCTTCGTTTTCAAATTTTAAAAAACGACACGGTTTAAGAAAATATTATCACTAATTAAATTATAAATATAATATATTTTTTTAATAGAAACATTTCTTTAGGAGAGAAGAATATTAAAACATACGTCCTCAATATTTTGTGCAAATTTCTCCAATGATTTACTAATAATCTAAAACATCGTATGATTATAATTTTTTTTATTAAAATAAGAGGTAATCATTTATAAATTTTTTCCCTTTTAACAGTAACAAAATGAAAAAATAACTATTCATTATTAATTTTGTAGAAAAATTTAATTTTTAGTTATAATCAATTAAATAATACGTAATGTATATAATTATATACATTAATTATAATTAATCAAGTGTAATCATTATCGCGGCTTTCAGGCTGTTCAGTAAAACTACATGTAAGTTACAAAAATAAGGAATTTTTTATCATATCAGACATTTAATGACTGACTAGCTATTACAACTGTTAATCAAGTATGATGATCATAGTTAAAAAAAAAAATGCTTTGAGAATGTTGCGCCATGACACTCCTAAATTAACGGTTGGCGTCAATAGCTTATAAGGATCATGTGGACCGATAATACTTAACCTAAAATAAAGTACATAACCTTTAAATAATTAATTTATATATTTAAAACGCAATTGTCGCCTTATGAGCTAAGGGATATAACAAATACTCTCTCTGGTGTTTGGATACTCCTTGATGTTTAGCTGAGCTGCCTCTTTATGGATCACATGAGCTGTACATTGACTTGGTTATCTGAGCTGATATTCTCTATTTCATTGAATCCTCTGCATAGGACAGCAGTGCATTAAAACTGTAGAATAGTGTCTACATTGTTCATAGCAACAATGTGGTTTTGTTTGAGAGCACAATTATGAACAGAGCACTGTATGAGCTTACATAAAAACCATCTACGGTGTGTAGAAGTACGTAGAGCACGTTAAACAATGCATGAGCTTGCAGGTTAGAGAGAACACTCACATATTTAAAAACCACAGAAACGTTAAATTGTACTGACAACAGCAACAGCAGCTGATAACAACGGTACAAGTGGGTATTGCACCATATCCAGTATTACCAACTAGAGGTCAACATATACTAAATTGATAACTCTTTTATGGGGTTCAAACAGAGATTACACATTATTCTGCTGTTTAAGCATATCATTATAACAATTAATCGTTTACAATTTAGTGATAACGACAGATTCTTAGAATAAAAAACGGTAGCACAGTAGGGGTCGTAACATAGTTGTGACAAGAATAAATGATATCTGACAAAGAGTAAAATCACTATCATAAATAAATATAATTAAAAAACACGCTTTTAAAGCACATCGAACTAAAAAGTTAAAAATTATTTTTAACTTTTTAGTTCGATGTGCTTTAAAAGCGTGTTTTTTAGTTTTTTTAAACTATATTTATTTTTCACTTTTTAGTTTCATGTTATGATAGTAGTTAATATCAATATCATGGTTGTAACGGGTAACGGGAAATAAGGGTTCGATTCCGGAGAGGGAGTCTAAGAAACGGCTACCACATCCAA